ATGAGTATAAGATTCCTTAACTTAATCGGTAAAGTGTATTCTTGATAAGAATATGATCAGCGTTCGATTCGCTGAGGAATTAGCCTGCCTATTCCTGATCCCTGACAGGTATATGATGGAGCTCCACTAATATGCAGCTGAAATAGCGATAAAGGGATAGTGAAACACCCTAGCTTGCGCGCAAGCTATAAATAAATTAGAAACAGCGTATACAAAAACAAAAATCATAAGCTTATATGTAAATACCTTTAATATAAAACAATTAAGAGAATTGACCGAGTGGTTTAAGGTGATAAGCTTGAGTTTTATTAGGTTATTGCAACCACATCCGTTCGAATCGGATATTCTCTGTAATGGGGTGTTTAAATGGCTGTAGGCCTTTAGTATTCAAGCCACAGCTTGTCCTATGCAAAGTAGCATCCTTATATGCTGTTGTAGTAGCAAAATATAAAAGAGTGTAGTTTAATTGGTAAAATAGGAAGCTTCAACCTTCAAATTCTTGGTTCAAATCCAAGTACTCTTGAGTTAATATTGATAGGTAGGTTATATACACTTATAGCCTATTCCTTCCCATTATTAACTAATTTAGTAGCTTGCTTGCGGAATCACGCAAGCTAGCGCAATAAAAAAAATACAAAATAGAATTTAGCTTGTTCTTCTTTTACGCTTCTTTTTATGCTGTAGATAGAACCAGAAAAAAAATCAGTACAAAATATTTCGCTCTAGTTTAACTTTAACCCCTATAAAATTAACCATGAAATGCATGTCCATTGGTCTAGGCTTAACTTGCTTAGCAAGTTAAAGCTCATAATCTAAAGTGGTATTCACCTACCTTACCGAACAACTATGTTACTTTCCAATTATTGCGCGTTAGGTGCAATATTAATATTTATTGTAATTGTTAGCTTTACATTATTTTATATTTATAATTTTAATCTATTTAAACCAGCTGCTTCTTATATATTTATCAACAGGTATTTAGATGCGAACTTTTTTTGATGAATATTTGGTCTTATAACATTATTTTATTTAGATATTTTTACTTTTAAGGATGTTTTATTTTTAGATAGAGATAGCAATATTTCTAATACTATCAATGTAGGAGCAAATATTGAAGTAGATAAAGATGCTGCGGAAGCTTTAGTACGTAATGTAGGGCTTTCTACTACAACAGGCCTAATGGCAGGAGCTGTATGTAAAACAATATCTAAATCAAGTTTACCTCCTTTACAAAGAGCAGGTTTAGTGTTGGCTAGTGGAGCCATAGGAGCAGGTATTCATATTATAAGTTCAAATTTAAATAGAGTAATAAGTAATAATACAACTAATAAATCGTCTTTTACTTCAACGTCTATTTTAAAGGATAATTCTCCATCTTCTAAAACTAATATTGTTTCTAAGTTAATAGATGATTCAAGGTCCGAAGGAAACTTAGTGGGTCAGGATCAGCTAGCTAATAATAGTGAATTAATGAATGTTTTAATTGGTTTAGAAATGATAACTTACGGATGTTTATATTTAATTATTATTTTATTCATGATTATATTATTGAAGTTTTATTTAAAATAATATCGGGATCCCACTGTAAATGCTGCAGGTAAGCAGCTCGAGCTTGCGCCTCAATTCAATTTATCTACGATAAAGGTGTTTAGCTCTTTTTTTTCTCCTGCTACTGCTGCGCAAGCTGAAGCTAAAGCTAAAACTAATGCTAAAGCTATAAAAAAAAATGTGTCCAATTATCTTCCTGCTCTATCTTATAATTTTTTCTATACCCTATACAGTGGATCGTGAAGCAAGGCTTGTTACAAAGTACACACAATCCGGCAAGGGTTGCTATTTAGCCGTGAAAAAAATCATAAAGCCAATGTTTGGTGCTTATCGTCTTGCATATTGCAAAAAATCAGAAGTAAGTGGAGTGTTGCTGCAACTACTGTTTTTAGGGTCAGAAGTAAGGCTTGCTATGAAGTATACACAACGCAGCTGCACAAATTGAATAATACTTTAAATTATTATTTTATGAAAATTATTCATAGTGCTATCGCTCTGAATAAAAAAACTAGTAATATATATATTTTTATTCTATTTTTTATATTATTCATATCTTTAGTACTTGAAGGTTATTATATTACTCAATTATATAATAATTTAGATAAATTTGTTGATTTACATATTAATAGATAATATTGCTTGAAGTTTTAGTTATATTTTTGAGTGTTAGTGATATAAGGCCTAAGAATTAAGTTTATATTGTTTCTATGGTGCAATTGAATCCTAAAAAATAACAATAAACTAAAAGTAATAGGATGTAAATATCAACAACGGGTTATGGCTGAGTGGTTAAAGCGCTTTCCTTGGGAGAAGGTTTTCCTGTGTTCGATTCACAGTAACCCGAAATCTTAAATGCCAAGCTTAGAACATGTAGAAATACAGTTTAAAATAAAAGATATATAAGTATTACTTGTAATTATATAAGTATATAAAGAAACTATTATGGAATTTATGCCATGTATCAAAGAGAAATATTTATAACCATAGGAGATAAAACATCCTCCAATATTTTTAACTCGCTCGCACAAAGGGGACTGATTGAAACCCAGGGTTAATAACCTTTTTTTCGTGCGAAGCACAGCTGGCTGTGTTATTATTTTTGTGTCTACACAATATGCTAAAGCTTTTAATTTTTTTAGTAAATAAGAATTGTATACTTATTTACTATTAATATAGTCTTGAAAATTGTTATTACAATTTTAGAAATTAAGGGGGCTGCTATCTCTCTGATTGTTTGCTACGTATTGTTTTATAAACAAGTCGCAAAGTAAACTGCGGGCAATGCAGAATATTGGTGAAGGTGAATAACTTCCTATAAGTTACATAAGCTCTAAGAGAAATCTAATCTCTAAACGAAGTGAATTGAAATATCTTAGTAACTTCAGGAAAATAAATCAAAAGAGATTCTATGAATAACGTGAGTGAAAGTAGAGTAGCCTATAAAGTAGAACGGTACAAAAACTGTTTGAATAAAATGGGGAACCTTCCTCAAAGGCTAAATATGATACATGAGCGATAGTGAAAAGTACCATGAGGGAACTAAACGAAAATAGTAGTTTTATAAGCAGTTCGATAAAAAGAACGTACCTTTTGCATAATGGGTCACCAAGTTAACGTTAGATGCGAGTATATGCGTAGTTAAACCGGACGTTAAAATAACGAAACAGTGTCTAAAGTTAGACCCGAAGCACGGTGATTTTACCATAGTCAGGATTATAAAAGTCCGAACGGGTGATTGTAGCATAAATCTCCGAAGAACTGTGGTAGGTGTAGTGAAAGACAACACTGACTGTGATAGCTGGTAAAGAATAAAGATGTAAGCAATCTTTAAATAGCCAGTATGTAGAAATGAACTTTCTGCAATAAACCATCAAATTGACGGGAAAACCCTAAAGCAATCTAGACCAAGCAAATGTGGTAACATCTTTGTGGCACAGGTAATGACTCGTGGTATGGTAAAACATAGATTGATATACGTAAGTATAATGGGAGATCCGCAGCCAAGCACCTTTAATAAGGTGTGCAGTTCATCGACTAAATGTTGGTTGGCTTATAGTTATAGTTATATAATTGTTGGCTTAAGATATAGTCAGACCTTACCCGAAAGGGTACAGAATAATAAATACGAAATTAAACTTTATAGATTCTTATGTATAAGGTTTTATGGCTGCGCAAGCTAAAGCTCGATAAGTATGAATAGTAATTAAGGCGCAAGCTCATAAAAAGATTTGCGGCTTCTAATAAAAAAAAATTCTTTTTTTATAAGCATTGCTTCTTATTATCTCTTAACAGAGGTAACTTTTAGGTTACACATTTTATTATTAGCCTTAAGAGGCTTTAAATAAAAGTAATTAGTTATTTAAAGATATATATTCAGTGGCCAAAGGCCCAGCACTATGAAAAAAAGATATTATACTACAGGTATAACACCTGCAATTACATATAAAAATTGTGATCAGAATAAAATTCAAATATTAAATGATAATAGAAATAAAGGAGGTATATATTGCTGGATTAATAATATTAATAATAAAATCTACGTAGGTAGCTCCATAAATTTAACTAATAGATTTTATAAATATTATAGTATTAAGCACTTAACTTTGCGTAAAACACCTATTCACAATGCTCTTTTAAAGTATGGATATAGTAACTTTACTTTAATATTAGAATATATTACTGATAAAGAACAAGTTATAAAAAGAGAACAATACTATCTAGACTTTTTAAAACCACAATATAACATATTAGCAAAAGCAAATTCTTTTCTAGGTTATAAACATACAGAAGAAACTTTAAAGTTTTTTAGAGAAGGACGTATACTTAATGAGGAAGCTAGAAATAAATTATCTATTGCAGCGTGCTTCGCCAAGGAAGAATATTACCACAAGTAATTAGAGATAAAATATCTACTAAGCGAAAAGGTATAAAACTTTCAGAAGAAACACGTGCAAAGATGGCTAAATCAGCTATAAGCCTTATAGGTGTAAAGGTCGACGTTATTAATACTGATACTAAGGAAAAATTATCTTTTGATAATTTAACAGCAGCAGCTAAACATATAGGTGTTACTAGACCAGCAGTAGCTAAAGCTTTAAAAAGTGGAAAATTAATAAAAAATATTTTCATCATTAAAGCAAAGTAGTATTTATTATTTGCTAAAGGGATAATAAAGTATATATAGGTATACTTATTATTTAGGGAGAAGGACTTCAGCTTTACCGAGAGGTAAAAGAAGTAGATTTGTTTCTGCGAAACCTATAATAGTAGGCAATTTAAGTAAATATCTTAGCAGGTACATAATTTAATCTCAGACAAGATGTGTAAACGTTTTATTTTGTACAAATTGGGGGATCATGAAGATTTTATCAGTGAGTATGTAGACTCGAAATGGCAAAGATATATCTTGAATTATCAGACATAGAATGATAAGGTTGTATGTCAAAAGGGAAACAGCCCAGAACAAGAGTTAAGGTTCCTAAATTATTAGTTGAGTGAAATTAAGAAGGTTTTTATTAAAGTCGACAAGGAGATAGGCTTAGAAGCAGCCATAATTTTATGACCTCGTAACAGAGCGCTTGTTAAGCTATAGAAGCATCGAAAATTTAACGGATCTAAACAATATACCGAAACCTTGTGCATGAACGTTTCATAGGAGATTACTTACATAAACACAATTACAATCAGAGGGTGAGTTGTGTTAAAGACACTACGACAATCATAGTTGTGTAAATAAAGATTTTATGTAATTAGTTCTATTAAAATCATTTAATGAAAAAGTTCTATTAATAACATCTAATACTAGTATTAATACTCAACAGTTATAGTATTAATTTTCAACACAGTTATAATTGTATTAATTCTTGAGTTATAATATTATTAATGCTTTTCTAATAATAATTATGCTCTTCTAATAGTATTAATACTGAACAGTTATAATAGTATTGATGCTCAACAGTTCTAGTATTAATATTTAATAGAATTAGTTCTATTAACAATATTTAATACAGGCGCAAGCTCAGTTTAAATATCGTTAAATGTATTTACAATATAATATGTCTAATTTAAATGTATTAGAATATACTTAAATGTTAGTAGATAGGGCGTTTGGGGTAGCAGAACGTTGAGTAAATAATGAATTTTATTTTTTTTAATAGAATTATAATAATTTAACTCAAGTGAGAATGGTGACATGAGTAACTAAAAGAAAATTTTCCGCCTTAAGCTTATGGATATAATTAAGTAACGGCCTCTAAGTTTATATTATCTAAAGATTTAAACGATGAGAAAATCTTTTTTACTAAGGACAACATTTTAGTGTAAAATGTGCTGGAAAAATAGTAAATATATTTGCGGGGCTCCGCCCACTAATAACAAAATATATTTGTTATCTAAGAATAAATGAATAAAACCGTACCTAGAATCTGAAAAAAGTAAGCTAGTAGAGAATACGAAGGCGTAAATGAGCTAACAATCATAAAGGAACTCGGCAAATTGACTACCGTAACTTCGGAATAAGGAGGGCTCAATTCTTGATTAATATCAAGTAAAAAGGAAGAAGCATAAAATGATGTTGTACGACTGTTTAATTAAAACACAGCACTTTGCTGAAAGATAAAAAATCTAAGTATAAAGTGTGAAATCTGCCCGGTGCCGGCTTTGGTTAACAGAGATAATTAAATATACTATTATTTGATGTCGACGGAAACCCCGGTTAAAGGCGGCCTTAACGTGAGGGTCCTAAGGTAGCGAAATGCCTTGGCCGTTAAATGCGGTCTTGCATGAATGGTGTAACGATACAACAGCTGTCTCTATGATTGACTCAGTGAAATTGGAATAGCTGTGCAGATACAGCTTACCTCTAGTTAGACGAGAAGACCCTATGCAGCTTTACTGTCACTAATTATAGAGTATGTTAGAGAATTTTCAGATTATAAGGTAATTGACAATGTGACAATGAGAATCCTTTATTTATCTTTCATATGAATGAATTGGTTTAGGATTATAAAAAAGTTATGTTTAATCTGGCTTTACTGAGTCGTTTAAAAAGATTAATTATAGAAACAATATAATTTATAATAGTAAATCAACCTAATTCAGTTTACTATTTTTAATAGTAAGTGACCTTTGGTAAGGAACTATCGCTAGGAGACAGTTTATGTGGGGCACAGACCCTGTAAAGAGTAAACAGGAGTGTCTAATAATTTATAATTATTTTGTTTGCTATTTTGAGTAGTTTAACTATTTTTAATCATATATAATTATTTATATTTGCGTATATTTACGTAAATATACTTAAGTTTAATTTAGGTAGGATTTTAACTATGTAGAAATTAGAGATAATTGAAAATATTATGTAAATTTTATTAATATTATGTAATTATAAGAAGCTTTTAGATGGAATTTAGTGGCTTAAAAAATATATTTTTTTTTTTAGCTCACGATATAAGATATAAAAATTTTTATTGTAATCTAAAATCTACTCTAGCGCAAACTCTTGTGAAGATTTATATTGTAATATAAAATCTATTCAGGCGCCAGGCGCAAGCTCTTATGGAATTTTGCTAATATTCTTCAAATTTTCTAATATTTTAGAGCTGTTTTTTTTTATCTTGCTGTTGCTTTGCGCTTCGCTATTTTTTGCGCTGCGCGAAAATGCTGCTTGAGAAAAAGGAATAGTTATGTTTTGAATATCTAAAAAGCTCAACGGCTAAATCTTGCCTTACTGTTTGATTATCTACAAATCTTACAGTTGCGTAAGCAGGGCATAGGATCACAAGATGCAATAAGGATAGATCTTGGATTATTGGAAAAGCTACGCTAGGGATGTTTGTCCTTTAATATTTTATTTTTAGAGTATATTTTGTATCTTTTTTCTTGTACGGCTAGCTAACGCAGTAAGCTATGCTCAGAAAAAATAAGAAGCAAGAAAAAATATGTTAAAGCTCATGCTTTATTAATTAATTATGTCTTAGTTAATAAAGCAAGGAATAAAATTATTAATACATATTGGGTAAATTTCAAGAATTACTAAAAATAGTAAACTTGAAGCGAAGTTTATTTTAGCAAATGCGCACAAAATAAAAACGTTCAACGACTATTAGGTGAGTACTATGTAATACAATAATCCTTTTTAAACTACCCAACATTTTTATTAAATATATTTAAAGAAAAAAGTAAAATATATTTATGCTTTCTTATTTTTGTATATTTTTTCTTGTATGGCTAGCTAGCAAGTTAGCAGCTAGCAAGCTATGCTCAGAAAAAATAAGAAGCAGCGGAGCTACTGTTTAGCATATTAGCGCAAGCTCGTTATAACTAAACAATAATAATGCAAAGCTGGCTTCTGTGCGAATCACCTATAAATGGTGCTTCTGATTTTTTTTCAAAAAAAATATGCTGCATGAATAAAGAGAGCGGCCAAAACCATAAAACAATCATGAAAATATTTAACAATAACTTGAATAATAATTCTAAGATAATTGCTTTAAGAAGAAAACGAGGAGATATAGGAAAAATAAAATATTTACCTTCTTTTTCTAAAGAATGGAAAAACATTGTTTATTGTTATAATAAAAATAATTTAAAAAATATACCAGTTAATAATGTAAATATTAATAAAATAATTAAAAGTTATTTTAATTTATATTTCAAAAATCATAAATTCGTAGGTTCTAAAAAATTTATATTACTTAAAAGAAGACGAAATTTTTTAAGAAGAATATATGTGAGTAATGCGGAAATTAAACATACAAATAATAAAGCAATAATTACTTTATATACTGTAAACAGAGAAAGCCTAATATTAAAAGAAAAATATTTAAAAATAAATAAAAAAGTTAGTAAAAATTTAATAAAACGTTTTTTATTGTTATATAAAAAAAATGTTGCTTGCTCCGTTTCCGACCAAAGCAGTAGAATATACGAAATATTCCATAATTTTAGCCTTAAAAACAATAAATATCTATACGAATATACTTTTTCAGCTGATCGACCAATACCAAAAAAAATTTTTTTAAATTATAAATTAAAATACTTAAACAAATTTATAAAATTCCAAAATATTTATTTGAAAAAAATATGAAGTCTTATTATTAGTAAATATTGAAATACATATTTGAAATTATTAAGAAAATATGACTTAATGTATTCTCTAAATAAGTATAAATTTAATAAACAAATATTTTTACCTATTTTAAGCAATATATTAAATAAAATAATAAGAAAAAAAATAGAATATAATATAATAAATTTGAAATCTATTGCATATAATACAGATCTTTTTACTAATGCTTTAGCTTTAAAATTAAAAAGAAGAAAAAAAATTGCCATTATGAAAAATATGTTTAGTATATTAAATAGAGCTTATTTACCAATCGTTGATACAATAAGAGCTTGCAGATCTCATAGGGGATATAGCCGCTCCTCTTTATACAATAAAGGGGATCCCTGTTACAAAGCAGCAGGGATAGGAAGTCTACACTCACAAGCTCAAAATATTAATTTATTTTTAAATGCTCCGCATGAATATAAAGATTTAAAATTAATTTCTATTTTAAATAATACTGCTGCTTCAGGGTATACGTACCATTCGGATCAGAAAGAACAAATAGGTGCGTTACTAGGTAGCAGAAAAAATATGCAGCTGAAAAATTTTGATAAATTATTAGGTGATTGTTTTAATACTAAGCAAATTCATAATACAATATACAATTCTATAGGTTATAAAAACATGAGAGGTATAAGATTAGAAATTAAAGGTAGATTAACTAAACGTTATAGAGCAGATCGTTCTATATATTCACTAAAATGAAAAGGAGGATTGAAGAATGTAGATTCATCCTTCAAAGGTTTAAGTTCCGTTTTATTTAGAGGAAATTCTAATTCAAATGTATCTTATTCAATATATAACTCAAAACGTCGTATTGGAGCTTTTGCTGTAAAAGGTTGAATAAGTGGTGCTTAGCAGTAAATATTAAAGGAAATCTTAAATATATAGAATAAAAATGAAGACATAGTCTGAACCATTTTGAAAAAAATGGAAATAGTATAATATGATAACATATAGAACAGGCTAATTTGCGCAAGAGTGTACAAAATGAGTGCGCGGTTTGGCACCTCGATGTCGGCTTAACTTATCCTCATGGACGCAGGAACTATGTAGGGTGCGACTGTTCGTCGATTAAAAAGTTACATGAGCTGGGTTAAATACGTCGTGAGACAGTATGGTTTCTATCTTCTAGAGGGAATTAGAATAAAATAAGAACAAACTTTTGTACGCAAGGAACAAGAAGAATTTAACTCAAAAAGTTAAAAGATGGTTACTAACCTATGGTTTACCTGTTGTTTATGTGCCTAAATATTAAATATATATATGCTTTTGTATATATATATCTTTTGTATTATTATACATAGGGATGTTTCTTTTACTAAGACAAATGTATAGCATAAGCACGGCAGGAACGCTAAGTTAGTTAAAGATAAGTGCTGAAAGCATATAGGCACGAAACTTATCTTAAGATATTTCTTAAATATACGTAACATACTATTACGAAACTTATAGGCTTTATCCGTAAGAATCATGAGATTTTAAAGAATAAAGTACTAATTTAATAATTCACTATTTATAAATATATCTATGCCTGGTTAGCATAAAAGTAAATGTAATTGTTTTGTAATCAATGGAAGCAAGTGCAATACTTGCACCGGGCTAACTTATATAGTATTATTAGCGATCTTTATATTTGTAATACGAGCTTTTAGGTTGATATGCGCTATTGGGCTACACCCGACAAGCTAAATAAAAAATATTCGCATAAAAAATAGCGAAGCACCCAAGGCAGTCTGGAGGGATAATGAAACACCTCTTAGGTATGCTTCTCTTGTTAGGTAAGGCATATTTAAGTTAAATAGTAAAATGTGAGGTTAATAGGCCATTTACTATTTGTTAGAAGATGCTTTGCTTGTAATCCTTTGTTTTAATGTTTCTGGTGGAAGAGGTCTAGGGATTTATTTTTATTGTATACAAAGCTTCTTGTTAAGCAAGAAAAAATACGCAGCCTGCGCTTTACTAATAAAAAAATTAGAAACAGTTTTTGTGCAGCAGCTGCGCAGCTGCTGCGAAGCAAACAAGCAAGTAAGCAAGAAAAAATCAGAACCAACCAGCAAGATGAGTAAGTTAAAACCCTGTATTGTTTTTACTGCGAAGCTGGCATGCCTAAGCTAGCCTACTAAACTAATAAATTAAACAAGAACAAATCGAAATACGAAGCACCCTTAGCTCTAGTGTAAGCTGATAATAATAAAAAAAAATATAAGAGCTTGCGCTAGTCAGCGGAGGACTACAAAAACAAATAGGCAGGACGAATTATAATACATTAAAATAAAAAGATTAGTAGTCAAGCGGTTACGACATAGCTCTTTCAATGCTACCACCACGGGTTCGAATCCTGTCTAGTCTATACTGCGGTTTGATGTAACAGTAACATATCCGGCTCATGCCCGGAATATATAGGTGCAAAACCTATAGCCGCGTAAAAGGGTTATAGCTTAATTGGTAAAGCATACTGCTCATAACAGTAAAAATAAGTGTTCGATTCACTTTAGCCCTAGCACCTCACCTATAGTCTGGTAGGGACCCCTGCACCAATAGAATAGGGTTTTAGGATATGAGTACCGCTATTCTGTAAACCTTTATTTTTATTGTTCTATTGAAAGAAAACCTATTATATTTTATGTAGTAACTCGTTGATAATGCAAATATTTTAATCTATACAATGCAATTTATACTAAAATTATCTATTTGAAACAATATAATCATTACGATGAAACACACAAAACCTATTTTTATTTTAGGTTTACTAACCATAATTGTACTATGCTCTTTTACATTAGAGATAGTTACACTAAGCTTTGATAATATTATGCAAGTTTTAACTGGAATTAAACCAATTTTGTTGAAGTTAAAAATAATAAATTATAAAGGTATGATAATAAGATCTAATATATTAGCTTTAAAGATTAAACCTTTATTAATTACTTTATTATATGTAGGGGCAGCTTGTATAACTTTTATTTTAACAAATTGAAAATTCTTTATATACATAATACTTGTTTATATATTTGTTAAATGCTTATTAACAAATTTTTACGTGAAGCATTTTAAGTTTAATAATAAATTAAATATAAAGAATATAACCGCTATCTGACAACAAAGAAAAAATATTGCTCCCTTTTTAATAAAGCTTTTCTTACTAATGATACCTATAAGATTCTTCATTAGAATATGCATATTTACATTATTTAATTTCCATAATGATATTCTATGTATTATATTACTAGTATTATTAACTTTACCCTTTTTTTGAATATAATAAGAAAATATCTTGCAGCAGCTGCTGCAAAACAGCAGCATAATAGGGAAAGCAACAACGTTAGTGAACAAGATTATTTTTTATTTAACGATTATGTTATAAAAAATATCAATTTATATAATATAATTTATATAATATTTACTATTTTAATGATTAACTATTATTTTTATTATTCTTTAGCTATCATATTTTTATCTTTAATAATATTAATATTATTAGTTTTATATTCTATGTATTGGGGATCAGAAGCACCTACTGTGGGGGATACACAGGAGAAGCAGCAGGATCTATCACCTAATAATAATATTCATTTGCAAGCTACAGGTCCACCACTGCTAACTTTTACTTGAGCATGTCTTATGGATAATTTAGGTATGTATCTAACATGAGGAGCTTGTAAAGGATATAATGAACCTGATTATGTACTTAGCAGTAAGGGTTTTAATATAAATAATCAAATAAACTATTATAATCAATTTGTATTAATAAATGTAAATCCTAATCACTTTAATTCAGATATAAATGTCAATAGACATGAAATTGCTACATGCTATAATTGATTACATAGATGTGTGGCTCCAGATAAGAACGGTGTATGATTAACAGAAGAAAAAGATATAAAGCATGGGATAATTATAGCGAAATCTAAAATATTGAGTATGCTTTATATGCAGCGATATATTGTATCTACACAAGCCGAATTTAAACAAGAAGTAGGTACATTGAATTACATACCACAAACTTTATTTAAAAATGATAAATTCATAGGTTCAGTTGGAAGAATAAATGGTACATTGGTGATCAATTTTTTGAAAAATGATGGACGACTTACATCTAAAAGAGAATTTTGACCTTCTTATTATGTACATGACGAAAGCCTTAGACATGTTAATCAAGAATTAGAACCAATTAGACATACTATAGAGTTTTTGGAACAAAAATATGGTATTTATATTCCTAATAGAGATAGCATTGAAAATATTATAACATTTACAGAATCAGAAAAATTAAGGGGTGGAGATCCGTCTTTAATAAAAATAATGAGACCTTGTCCTTTATTTTCGGATTTACACACTATGTATGAAACACCTAGTAAATATTTTCTTTGTTGAAAAAGACAAGATTGAGCGAATTTAAGGGATGGGTCTTTATATAATAGAGTTCTAGCTTTAAAGGGTAATGTTCAGTATCATCATAAAACAGAAGAAAATAGATATCATAGTGAAATTATATTAAACGGATTGTATTGTGAATATTTAAATACTAGATTAGCTACTTTTTACCCTTTAGTAAATGTTGAGGCCGATCTACTTTTTAATTCAACACGGGGCCATTTGTTTTATAATTATAAAAGTGATAGTTTAAAAAATATAGTGTTATTCAGACAGGATGATTTAGATATCTTTCATTTTCAAAAATATTGTTTAATAGATATGACTTGAACTAGACGGAGATTGCTAGAAAAATTGGAAAATGATAATCTATATTCTTCTTTCTATGTTGTTTCTGCCAACAGAATTACGATTGAATTATTATATATTGAAAGACCTTATGGTGAACTACCTAAGATTTATAGTATTATGGATTTAACTAATATAAATACTAGTTCGATAATAAAGGCTTTTACACCTCCAAAACAATCTTATAACATTTTAGATAAACAAGATGGTGATACATTAGATAAATTATTAAAATATAAGTATTAATAGGCAAAGGATAGAGTATATTAGAGTACTCTGTACTTCTTGCTGATTTTTCATATCCTCTGAAAAATACAAAGCAATATCTTACAAAGGATGATAACTTACATAAGGAAAAATAGTATAAATTATATTACAATTAGTTTGTAGTCCTCCGCTGACTAGCGCAAGCTCTAAAATATAATAAATTATGAATAATAAAAATAACAATAATTATAACATAAGTATAATACTTATAATGTACTATCCTGAGACAGAAAAATACAAGTTTTTAATTTACAAGGCTCCGCTGCTTCGCAGGAAAACAGGAATAAACCGGGGATTTATCTGACTCCGACTCCGTAGGGCTGATAAATTTTCACCCTCGGGACTACGAAAAAATTGAATTACTAATAAAAGCTACATAGATTCTGCTAAAAAGGGTTACCTGTTTTTCCAAGAGTGCTTATTTCTTATCCCTTTCAGGGATCAAGCAGGAATAAAAGATAAATATTTAGTGTTAAATACATAATATACTTTAAATAAGCTCATGTAACTCAATTGGTAGAGTGAAATATTGAAGCTATTTTTGTTATAAGTTCAAATCTTATCTTGGGCAAAGGTATAATAAATATCTTTAACGAATTCATCTTATTTATTTAAGATTATATAATACTACGGTAAATATACTACATCTTATGCTAAGCCACTTGTGCTAAAGAGAGTTGTACGTTTAAGTCTAAGTGCTGAAATTTGGTAGACAGAGGTTGCTTAAGCCAACCTGGGTAGTACCCATGAGTGTTCAAGTCACTCCTTAGATACAGTATTTATGTACTATTTTTAGTTAGTAAAAAAAATGAAATTTTATGAATTTTAAATAAATTTATTCTTATATGCAAAGAAAAGAAATATATAAAGATTTAAATAATAAGTGTGGTATTTATCTTTGGACAAATATTGTTTCGAATAAAAAATATGTAGGATCTTCTATTAATTTATCCAAAAGAAGACCAAAAATTACTTTAGTAAGTATTATTTACAATCAGAATTAAAAAAAAAAATAATAGTATTATTTTTAAGGCACTTTTTAAGTATAACTATATTAATTTTAAGTTAGATATTATTGAACTTTGTGATTCTATATTAATTATAGAAAGAGAACAATTTTATTTAGATAATTTAGAATTAAAGTATAATATTTTGAAAATTGCAAGATCTCTTTTAGGTTTTAAGCATAGTAATGAAACTAAAGAAATATTGCGTAAAAGAATGACAGGTAAACCTTTTTTAGGTAATAAAGAAAATTTGTATTCCAATTGAAAATCTTTAGCATTAATTGTGAAGAATATTAATACTGAAGAAATAATTCACTTCCCTTCTATTAGAAGAGCATCACAATTTATTGATGTGCATCATTTTCATATCTCACTATGTTTAAATAAAAAAAGGATTTTATAAGGGTAGAGGCTATTATGTGACTAGAATTATATGCAGATAATTTAGGCATGTAATTTAGATAATAGAATCTTTGTATAGTATTTTTTACACCTGTTTTAAATTCCTGTATCTCTAATAAAACAAGCCCGTATAGCTCAATTGGTGGGGCAGAGCGTTGAAGTTGCTTTGATTGTAAGTTCGAGTCTTACCGTGGGCAGTGAAGGGACTTTAGTATAATGGTGAATACATATGACTTTTAATCATTGAAATGTAGGTTCGATCCCTACAAGTCCTAAAAATAATAATTAATTTTACTAGCGAGCTATATAAAAAAAGTTTATTAGCTGTACATCTATTTTAGATCTTATAGTAATATAAAGATATAACAAGAAAAGGTTGTCATAGGTAAGACAATATTTAGCTAATGGCGGTGTAATTTGGATGTTCAACTCATGAGTCAGAAGATCTTGCTTCTTTTATTTATTTTAATTATATATATCAAAATGAAAATTTTTAATGTTTTAACATCTTTTTTTTAGATTTTTTACACCTGTAAATTTTAGTAAGGTTATAGTTATATTATTTGTAGGTTTTATATCTAGATATTTAATTAATAATTATTTTAATATAAATGTATTTACAGAATATTTAACTCTAACTTCTAATTTTTTTATTCAGGGTTTGCTACTTTTATTGTTTTTGTTCATGAATTTTTCTCTTTCTTTAATGTTAATATTTTACCTGGTTTTGTTTGAAGTATGTGTCAAAAAATGAGTTTAATATATGAAAATTTGTTCGTTAAACCTTTTATTCTAAAACTTGGGCTAATAATATTTATATTTATCATGTAAGTCGTTCTGTAGAAGAATCTAAAAATCATAATAGTTATGATCTTTATTCTTGTAGTTTATCAAATTATGATTATTATTCTATAATTGCTCAAAAAAATCCATATGAAGAACAAGGTGAGTCTTCACACTCTCCTTATATAAATCAAAATTCACAATATTATAGTAATAATCAAGCTTCACAAACTTACGTAGGCTCCGCCTACTCAAATAATAAAAATTAGCCTGAGCAAATGGAACAATATCCTACTCAATATGATTCTAGTTATAATGACGAATATTTGGATCATAATATTTCTCGTAATTATAATACTAATTATTTTACAACTCAACAAAATTATAACTATCCTGCTGAATAAAATCCTAGATTTTTTCGTCTTGATACTATTGAACAAGATGGTATAGATATAAGTTTTAATACCCCCTGACAATTCTAATCAACAAAGGGCACCTATAATGAGTAATAATACAACTCCTTCTGCCGTGACTACATTGTTCTCTAGCGAAGCCACTGCTCAACAATTAAGTGTAAATTCTAATCAATTATCTCAATCTAGTATAACTACTACTAATGATACAAATCATGCTACTATAGGTCCTAATAGATCATAACATCACATAAATTGAGAAGCTAGAAGGTATCAAGTAACTAAAGCTTTTGAAGATATTGCACAACCTCCTAAATTCAAAGAAGTAGTTGTACCTTGTGGTACAACTAGAGGTAAAGTATCTTTGGCTATAAAATATTATTATAATAAATCTAATATTCATACTTTATTAAATATCATGATATAGCCAAACGTAAATTGTTCTGAACTCTTTGATAAAAAGGTCGTGATAATTCTTAAAGTTACGAAGAGTTCAAGAGAAATTTTGATCCTAATACTAATATTTTTAAAGATATAACTAAAGCTACTAAAGCAGATTTATCTGAATAAATTCGTAATTTATTAAATTCAAACCCTTTTGGTTATCGTTCTCAACGTTCTGCTAGTATTGCTCCTAGAGATATTAGAAGAGTAAATTACAGTAATACTCAAAATCGTTTAAATGAATTAAGTGCTACTATAAATAGAGCTGTTAGTCTACCTAGAGATAGAGTTATTACTTAACCTAGAAGAGATAAAGTTACTAGTTTGTCTAGAAGAAGATAATATAATTTATTTAAATATATTATAAACTTTAGATAAAAATTGTCTCTTTTTAAAAACAAACAACAAAAAATTATAAATAAAAATTTCAACTTATTTTTCATGCGAAGCGCGAAGCCGTAATAATATTATAAATATTTTAGTTAATATTTTTACAATATTTATTTTTGACTTTTTTACACTATTATTGTCTAATAATCAAATAGATTACTTCAATATTTTTATTGAATTTATTATTCTTCTATTAACTATTTTTAATAGATTTATTAGTGAAGGACTTATAGGTATAGATTGCTTTAATAATACTACGTTTCTAAATTTTAGACCTATAAATTATATTATTAATAGTGATTGTAGTTTTAAAGATAAGTGTATACGTATATGTCATTGAGTCTTTTGAGAACAGTTTAATAATTATATAAATTTTCATTATTTTAAAGACCATTGAAATTCTAATAATAAATATATAATTTTACTTAAAGATAAATATTAAGAGAAAAAACATAAGGTTGTTGTTTTTAATAAAACTCTTGCCTGATTTTTAAATCGTAGAAATAATAATTAAGTTTTCTGTACATGAAGAGGAAATTATTGCCTCTTTTTATTTAATTAAATAACATTCAAATTAAATATATTTTTTATTACATTATAGTATATTATACTATAATATTCAACCTATTATATTTTACTACCAAAAAATACTTAAAAATAAACAATGTAATAATTATTACAATATTATCTTTATATTTAATAGCTGCTACATTGTCAATATATGGTTTTTTTTATGACTTAGATATAATTTCAGTAGATACAGAAACTATGAATTATTTAGATGAATTAGATTTTACAGTGGAATTCCTCGTCCATAATACTCAAATTATAAATAATAATTATGGAAATATTGATAATGCATGATTAAGATTTTTAAATTTGTTTAATAATAACAATACTGCTCATTTTTCATATCCTTTGGGTCAGGGTCAGCAAATTAAAGATACAGAATTAAATAATATTTACTATATTAATAATCATAGAACTACTGATTATTATTATAAAGTAGAATGAATTGATATTTATTGCTCTGCATAAAAATATAAGTATGCATCTGCTCACAATAAAGAAGTTTTATTTTTTATAAACTGTTTTACAGATGTTTTAGATGAATTATAATCAATTGAAAAGAACTTAAAAGCAAAAGTTTAGATTATTATAAAGGGACATAGTTAAATATAATATGTATCCTATATAAGGAAGAATAGTATAAAAATTATTACAATTAACTCTGTTTAATAGATTTGGTTATTTTAAATGAATTAGAATCCATACAAAATAATTTATTTAAAACATCAAAAATATAAATGTCATTCCTTATAAAAATTGATTATGAATATAATACTACTTTTAGTAATTAGGGGGTATAGTTTAATTAGGTAAAACCGTAAACTTGCACTTTGCTATTTTGAGTTCGATGCTCAATATCTCCATAATAATCAGTAAATATAGATCACATTATATTGCTGCTATAAATTAAGCTGCGCAGTGTGCACTTACTAAATTATATAAATTAAATATTCAATAATATATTTTCATTCATATAAATAGTATTAATGCGACTTTATTATCATTAATTTTAAGACAAGAGAGGCTGGAAATATAAATAAGATAAGCTTACACTTTAAAATAAGGCAGGTAATTGAATATAAAATTCTTGTTTACAATTACATCAAAAAGGTTGTTGTATATTCTATTTTAATTACATCTATATATCCTAATGTATGTATAATGTTAATGCTACTATTATTTATAGTGGAATTGATAGGATAATAGTATAGGATAATATCTATTATACTAAAAAGGCTTGCTTGGGATCAAACGGGTATAGGTTAAAGGTAGACTTCTTGGTTTCCACTCAACATGTGTCAGTGAAAATATGAGTATCCGTATCAATACTTTATTTTATATTATATTAAGGGAAAATAGTATAAAAATTATTACGATTAACTTTGCTTAATAGATTTGGATGAGATCTCCAATTTTTCCACCTATGGCATTTGGCTCTTTTTATTAGAATAATTTAAATAATGATAATGACAACAAAACCAAAACTGAGGAAATTATAATTTCCAAATGAATAATTCAGATACTATGAATAATAATTCAAAGAACAAAAACTTAACTCATCTAACTACAAAAATGGCGGTTTTAAATAATTCAGTAGAATGCGATCTATGGAGAGTAGCTAATTTATCCGCTTACATGAAACTAGATACGTTTAACATATTTTCTATTATCGTAGATGATTCATTTGAATATCAAGCTATAGAAATATAACATCCTTGTAAAGTAACATATATTGAAATAGGAATAAAATTATTTGTAAAAAATTGCTTAGAGAATAAATAAGGAAGACTTCTGAAGACATAATAAAGATACTTTGTATATTATAAGGAAAGGTAATTATTCAGATATTAAACATTTGTTTCCATTATCAAAGATACTAATGTAAGTATAGTAAGAGGTTCAAGTAAAAAATCATACATAATAAGTCCGATTGATTTTAGATTATCTAGCTATCTATTGATTCTGTTTAATTTATATTCTAAAAAATTTAATATAGAAAATGCTTTTAATATAATAACGAAAGATAGATATTTGCCATCTTTAGAATAAGTGTAGGTTTTAAATTTATATAATATGTTAAAGGAATATCTCTATTGAAGTCTAAAGCTTAATTATTACAAATAGATATGCTGAAATTAGGGAGACAGGGTGGCTTTAGGTGCCATTGATTTAAATATCGTATTGGTTCAAGTCCAATTATCTATAAAATAGAGAATTTGTCTCTTTTTATGCAACATGCAACAACATTAAAAAAATAAAAAATGAAAAATTTTAAATACAATTTAAACCCTAATTGAAGAACTGAATTTGTGTAAGTGTAAAACGGAGGGGGAGGATGTTTTCGTGTACGTGTAGGAATATATAAAAAAAACATTCTATAAGATTATCAATTGCACCATCTTTTAAGGTAAAATTACATATAAAAGATCTAAGTTTACTATTAGAAATTAAATCTTTTTTCAAAAATAACGGTTATGTTTATGTATATAAAACTTTTGCTATAGTGTACATAAATGCAAAGATTTCATTGATATAATTATTCCTCATTTTAATAAATACTCTATCTCTCTTATAACTGAAAAGCAAAATGATTTTGTTATTTTTAAATAAATTTTAAATATTATGAATAAAAAACAACATCTTAATATAACAGGTCTATCTGAAATTATTAAGTTAAAAGCCTCACTTAAAGGCTTACCTTGTAATATAAAAGCATTATTTCCTAATTTGCTTTCAATGAAAAGACCTAAAAGTTTACCTATTCTAGTTAATATAGATTATCATTGATTTGCAGGGTTTTTCTCCGGAGAAGGATGCTTTTTTGTAGGTATTTATAGATCTAAAATAATTAAAACAGGTTATTATGTTAAACTATGTATAAGAGTAGGTCAACATTAAAGAGATAAAATATTAATTAATCAGTTTGCTAATCTATTTAGTTGTGGTCAATTGACAGAAAGAGAAAATTTGACAGAATTTTATATATCTAATTTTAAAGATATATACTTAAAAGTCATACCTTTTTTTTAGATATAAGGTGATAGGTAATAAGTCATTAGATTTTCAGGATTTTTTCCGAATTGCTGATTTAGTTAAGGATAAAGCTCATTTAACTAAGGAAGGACTTAAAGAGACCATGATCATAAAATCTCGGATGAATAGAAATAGACATTAATATCTTAAAGAATTTCATAGTTTTCTTGTGTAGCCATCCTTAATAGATTAGGATCATAAATTTTAATCTTCTTATTAAAAATAATTGATCCAAATAATCTTTATTATTTTAAATTAAAAGTAAATGCAACTTTAGATAAAAGATCATATACTTTAAAGGTATTACATAACAATAAAACTATTTATCACTTTAGCACTAAAGCCTCTCTATATTTAAATATAAGTAAAATAACATTAACCAAGTATTTCATTGAAGATAAACTATGAAAAAATAAATTTAAGTTTATAATATTATCTTAATATATAATTTAAGATGTCTCTTTTTAATATTATTTATAATTTATACAGTATGAAAGGAAACAATTACTTAACTTATCTAAGACCTACTATATCTTATAATCGTCCTAAAAAGAAATAAATTTGAGCTAAAAATAAACTCAGATCAGGTATCTACCTGATCTGATATAATTTAATTAACAATAAAACTTATATTGGTAGTGCTTATAATTTAATAAATAGATTTTTCAAATATTTGTCTTATAATTAAACGAAAGAGATATATAAATATATTAGTAAACACCTTGCTAAAGTATAGTTATAATAATTTTAAATTATAAATTATAAAATATTGTGTAGTCCTCCGCTGACTAGTGCAAGCTACTAGTGAATTAATTCAATGAGAACAATACTATATTGATCTCTTAGCGCTTGAATATAACATATTGTAATTTGCAAACTATCGTTTAGGACACAAGCATTCACAATAGGTTTTATAAAATATAATAAATTATAAACCTAGACTTGAGACTCTATAAAAAATGAGATTAGCTAAATAATTATAAGGTTACTATATTAATAAATAAAAAAGACAATAAGATAAAAATATTTCCTTCTGCTGTTCGTAATGCGGCTAGATATTTAAATACTTTTCACTAGAGCTTATAATATTGTACGGATAATAATGTGTTATTTAAAAACACTTTTGTGGCTGGGCTTCGCCCCGCCTCTAAAATTAAATATTAGTACAATATTTAGTTATTTGTAAATAGCTATAATATTTCGTCGTCTAATAGGTAAGACATAAATTTTTGGTATTTAGTATTGGGTGTTCGAATCACCCCGAGATAAAAAGAGAAAGTGTCTCTTTTTGTAGTCCTTCAGTGACTAGCGCAAGCTCTTAAATAAAAATGGTAATATGAATTATAAAAATGATAATCTAAATAAAACACCTGTTGTATTCTACTCTAATATCTCAAAAAGCAAATATATAATTTGTAGAGCTTTATTGAAATATATTTACAACATGTTTAATTTATAAATTTTATAATATTATAAACCAAATTTATTAATAATAAGGGAACAATATTAAATAGATTTATTAAAGCCTGAATATAGCATATTAAAGATAGCTAATTCACGTTAGGGTGTTAAACCGAAACTCTATTAAAATTTAAATATCGTAAATTCAAACCAGAAGCTTTGATAAATCTAAAAAAAACTATGGCAGATAAAGTTCCTTCACCTATGACAAAAATTAACCACTTGTTAGCAACAGGCCTTATAACGGTTATAGTAAATAAGAAGAATAATAATATAAAACGATATCCTTCTATTAAAAGTGCAGCGAAAGATCTGAATGCTGATTCTCCTAGTTTAATATATTGTATGAATAAAAATATATTCTTTAAAAACAAAAACAAAAACAAAAACAAAAACAAAAACAAAAACAAAAACACATTTTTGTGGCTGGGCTTCGCCCCGCCTCTAAGAATAAAGTATTAATATATTTATTTATTATTTTAAATAATAATAATAATATATCGTATAAATTAATATACAAATCATGAATTTTGTATATTAATTGAAGGGTGTTGTGATAAATACAATTTTTACTATAAGGTAATCATAACTCAACGGTAGAGTAATTATTTGTGGCATAGTCGGTCTTGGTTCGATTCCAGGTGTTTACCCATTTGTTCCTTTTTATAAATATCAATATTCATAATATGAATAATAATAATTTAAATAATAAATTAAATCCTAATTGAGTAACTGAGTTTGTGTAAAATGATGGGTCAGGGTCAGGATGTTTTTATATACAGATTAAAAAAGCAAGTCTCATATTGTAGGATGATGTATTAATACATGTTTTACCTTTACATGCAGGAGATAATAATGTACTAATTCAAACCAGAAGCTTTGATAAATCTAAAAAAAACTATGGCAGATAAAGTTCCTTCACCTATGACAAAAATTAACCACTTGTTAGCAACAGGCCTTATAACGGTTATAGTAAATAAGAAGAATAATAATATAAAACGATATCCTTCTATTAAAAGTGCAGCGAAAGATCTGAATGCTGATTCTCCTAGTTTAATATATTGTATGAATAAAAATATATTCTTTAAAAACAAAAACAAAAACAAAAACAAAAACAAAAACAAAAACAAAAACACATTTTTGTGGCTGGGCTTCGCCCCGCCTCTAAGAATAAAGTATTAATATATTTATTTATTATTTTAAATAATAATAATAATATATCGTATAAATTAATATACAAATCATGAATTTTGTATATTAATTGAAGGGTGTTGTGATAAATACAATTTTTACTATAAGGTAATCATAACTCAACGGTAGAGTAATTATTTGTGGCATAGTCGGTCTTGGTTCGATTCCAGGTGTTTACCCATTTGTTCCTTTTTATAAATATCAATATTCATAATATGAATAATAATAATTTAAATAATAAATTAAATCCTAATTGAGTAACTGAGTTTGTGTAAAATGATGGGTCAGGGTCAGGATGTTTTTATATACAGATTAAAAAAGCAAGTCTCATATTGTAGGATGATGTATTAATACATGTTTTACCTTTACATGCAGGAGATAATAATGTACTTTTACAAATTAAATCTTTATTTAATGGCATAGGTCATATTTATACAAAGGACAAATCTACGGTCTATAGAGTACAAAGACATGAAGATCTAATTAATACAATTATTCCTCATTTTAATAATTATCCTTTAATAGCTGAAAAACAAAATGATTTTGTGTAGTCCTCCGCTGAGTAGCGTAAGCTCTTAAAACCTAAGTTATTCTGGTTCGATTCCTGGTGTTTACCCTTAAATAAACATAAATAAATTAATATTTTTAGGTTTTATGGCTTATAAGCTTCCTGGTTCAACCCCTACCAGCCGAGTCAAAATAAATATACTTACAAATGCCTTAGTAGTTTAAGGGTAAAAACACTAACTTCATGCGTTAGTAATGAAAGTTCGATTCTTTTCTAAGGCTTCAACCTTTAAGGTTGAACTATAGGCTGACCCATACACCACATAGCAGGGCAGCATTCCTCAATTTTTAGGTATTTGAACTTATCCTGATTTTATTTTCAGGCTTCAATCTTTAAGGTTGAATTATTTTTTTCAACTATGATAATAATATCTATCTTATCTCTTTTACTCTCTAATGCCGTTAATTTAAGACGTGACATATCTATTTTATTTAATAGAATAGCTATAATTATTTTAATTTATTGTATTTTAAATGATCTATCCTCTTTAACTGTAATTACTAAAGGTGTAGGTATACATGGAGGTTTATTATTAGTTACAAACATTACACAAATATTTCATATATTTATATTTTTAATTAGTATATTAATATTGACTTTAACTAGTTTCTATCCTAGAAAGGTTTGAGTATCTGAATATTCATCTCTGAAAAATTTGTTATTATACAAATTTGTTTATTATAACACAAAAATAATTAATAAAATGGGAGAACATCTAAAAATAATAGAATACCCTTTAATATTATTATTTGTAATAACAGGATCAATATTCTTGATGTCTACTAATGATTTAGTTTCTATATTTTTAGCTATAGAATTGCAAAGTTACGGATTATATATATTAAGTACTATATATAGAAATTCTGAATTATCCACTACAGGGGGTTTAATATACTTTTTATTAGGTGGATTAAGTTCTTGCTTTATATTATTAGGGACAGGTTTATTATACGCTAATTCAGGTAGTACTAGTCTAGATAGTTTATACATTATAACTAGTATAAGTGATATAAGCTATACAGATTTATGATATAAACCTTACTATATTAATCTTTCTTTAGTTATATTTACTATAGGATTTTTATTTAAAGTAAGTGCTGCACCATTTCATTTTTGATCACCTGACGTATATGACGCTATACCTACCATAGTTACAACTTTTGTAGCTTTAATAGCTAAAATTTCTATATTTATTTTATTATTACAGTTAGTTTATTATACAGGGTCTGGGTCTGATAGCAATGAAATGAGTTGAACTTTCATATTATTAATGAGTTCTTTATTCTCCTTAATAATAGGTACAGTAGTAGGTTTAACTCAATTTAGAATAAAAAGATTATTTGCATATAGTACGATATCTCATGTAGGTTTTATATTATTAGCTTTAAGTATATCTAGTATTGAGTCAACTCAAGCATTTATATTCTATTTAACACAATATACAATTAGTAATTTAAATGCCTTTTTTATATTAGTAGCTATAGGTTTCTCTCTATATTGCTATACTAGTGAAAATAAAGAACATGAAGAATTAATGGATAAAACTAATTCTCCAATACAATTAGTAAATCAATTGAAAGGTTATTTTTATATAAATCCTGTATTAGCTTTAAGTTTAGCTATAACTATATTTTCATTTGTAGGTGTACCTCCTTTAATAGGATTCTTTGGTAAACAAATGGTATTAAGTGCAGCTATAGATAAAGGTTTAATATTATTATCTTTCATCGCTATATTAACTAGTGTTATAGGAGCTGTATACTATTTAAGTATAGTAAAAGAAATGTTTTTCAGCTTACCTGACTATAAAATTAATACTTTATTAGAAAATTTAGTATTAAAAGGTACTGTATTAAGAAGAGGCGGGACAAGCCCCTATCCTTTAGGAGATCAGGTGAAGCACTCCCTATCCCCAAATAAAACAATTATTCATAATTTAAGCTTTAAATATAATAATATAGCTATATCGAGTCCTATATCTTTTGTTATATCCTGTATAACATTACAAATTTTATTATTTTTATTTATTAATAAAGAATGGCTAAGCATGGGTAAACAAAAATTAATGCTATTCTTTATTAAATTCCATTTAATATACAATTTTGCGACTACTTATTTTACTATATTTATTAAGAATTATACAACAAAGATTAAAGATCAACAGCACACAAATAAGGTAATAAATCCTTGATTTATTAGAGGATTTACTGCGAAGCCATGCTGAGGGTTCTTTTAAGGCGAAGCACACATTTAGAAAAAAATAAAGATAAATGAAGAGTAAGGCCTACATTTCAAATTAAACTAGATATAAAAGATTTATCTTTATTAGAACTAATCAAAGTATATTTTAATCATGTAGGTTCAATTAATATATCTGGCAAAGAATGTGTTTATAAAGTAAAATCTTTAAAAGAAGTTGCCATAATAATATCACACTTCAATGAATATTATTTAATTACACAAAAAAAAGCTGATTTTAAATTAATATCCCTCCGGGATCAGAATGAATAATTAATAAATTAAATAACCAAAAACATTTAACTTCTAAAGGTTTACAATAAATTATTAGTATATGTGCTTCAATGAATTTAGGTTTGTCTCCATCAGTTAAAAACAATTTTCCGGATATTACACCGGTAGTTAGACCTTTAATTGAAAACATGGTAGTACCTCATTCTGACTGGATGGCCGGGTTTGTCTCGGGAGAAGGATCTTTTTCAGTAGTTGGAAATAAATTTATATCATTAAGTTTTAGAGTTTCTCAGCATAATAAAGACGAACAACTATTGAAATCTTTTGTTGATTTTTTTGGTTAGCTTGCGCAGGAAATTTGAATTATCATAATAAAGAGAAAAAGGCTGTAATTTTTGTTGTTAGAAAATTTGAAGATATAAATTCGAAAATTATTCCTTTTTTTAATGAATATATAATTAAAGGTGTTAAATATAAAGATTGATCTGAAGCAGCTAAATTAATAGAATCGAAAAATCATTTAACACCGGAAGGATATAATAAAATACGTAAAATAAAAGAAAATATGAACTCATATAGAGTCAGAGTCTAATATATTGTACTAATTGCCCCGTGATATAAAACACAATTTGTGTATTATGCATAGATAATTGGATAAATTGCAAGAAAACTTATTATAATTTAAATAAATAATTTGCAGCGAAGTTTAGTTTAATTTATGGCTGCATGATTCTGATTTTTTTCTTACGAGCTCTAGCATATATAACGCAGCCGTACCGTAATATGCAGGGCTCTAGCCAGCCCGTAAATTAAATTAAAACCGTCCAACGACTAAGTTACCTTCATAGGTATAAAACATCCAATATTACTTATAAGTAATAATTACATAGTCTGAACAATATAATAATATATTGAAATATTAATAATTATTATTAATAATTAACAATCTTGACCATATTGGTACAAATTCTTTTTAATGGTTAAATGAGTAGTATGACTTTTATTTTTATTGTTGTATCAATATTAACAATATTATTTTTAGCTCTTAATTTTATATTAGCACCTCATAATCCCTACCAGGAGAAATACTCTATATTTGAGTGTGGATTTCATAGTTTTTTAGGACAAAATAGAACTCAATTTGGTGTAAAGTTCTTTATTTTTGCTTTAGTATATCTTTTATTAGATTTAGAAATTCTGGTAATATATCCTTTTGGTCTTAGTGGGTATGAAAATGGGGTATATGGTTTAATAATAGTACTTATATTTATAGGTATTATTACTGCAGGATTTGTATTTGAATTAGGTAAAAATGCATTAAAAATAGATAGTAGACAATCTTTTAATTATTGTTATAAATCAAATAAATTTGTAAATACTTTATATGAGAATAAGTAAACAATGTTTGTTGGCTGGGCTATTTTTTTTTATGTGCATATTTTTTTCTTTAGCTTGCCGAGTGTAGCCCAATAGCGCACATCAGCCTAAAAAATATGCAAAAGTTTTGAAAAAAACATTAAATAAATAAAAAAATAATACTTTTTAGCGGTTAGGTTGTAGGAAGCTTTATGTTAGATAGATTTAAAGCATTTCCGTGTTACAATCATCAAAAATAATAGGAGCAGGGTTGGCAACAGTGGGTGTTTTAGGTGCAGGAGTAGGAATAGGAGTAGTATTCGGATGTTTAATAATAGGTGTAGCTAGAAACCCTTCATTAAAAAACCAATTATTCTCGTACTCAATATTAGGTTTTGCTTTTAGTGAAGCAACTGCGTTATTCGCTTTAATGATGTCATTATTATTACTGTACGTAGCATAATTTTGTTTGGTTATAAGTAAACTATTTATAACACCGGTTATGTGTATAAGGAGGTGGGCAGGGCAGGTCTGTTAGTTTATACTAACAAAAAACAATTCTATTTATAATTAGAAATTCTATAGTTTTTATCAAGCTATGAAAAATTTATTAAATACATTTATATACTTAGACGCGCCAAGTGCTTGAGGTTTATATTTCCAAGATAGTGCTACTCCACAAATGGAAGGTTTAGTTGAGTTACATGATAACATCATGTATTATTTAGTATTAATCTTATTTAGTGTAGGATGAATACTCTACTCTATAATAAAAAACTTCGAAGATGCGCCTATATCACACAAGTATTTAAACCATGGTACTTTAATCGAGTTAATCTGAACTATAACACCAGCAGTTATATTAATACTTATAGCCTTTCCATCTTTTAAATTATTATATTTAATGGATGAAATAAATGATCCCTCGATGACAGTTTTAGCAGAGGGTCACCAATGATACTGAAGTTACCAATATCCTGATTTTATAGATTCTAATGAAGAATTTATAGAATTTGATTCATATATAGTACCAGAATCTGATTTAGAACAAGGTGGATTAAGAATGTTAGAAGTAGATAACAGAGTTATAGTACCTGAATTAACACATATTAGATTTGTTATAACATCAGGAGATGTTATACACTCTTTTGCTTGCCCTTCATTGGGTATAAAATGTGATGCATATCCAGGTAGACTAAACCAAGTTTCAGTTTTTATAAATAGAGAAGGAGTATTTTATGGACAGTGTTCAGAAATATGTGGAATATTACACAGTTCTATGCCTATAGTTATAGAATCTGTAAATATAGAGAAATTTGTTCATTGATTATATAATGCTTAACTTATTATAAAGTAAATTTAGTAAATATAACTAAAAGGGGTATTAGTTTAAAGGTAAAACATGATGCTACGGACATCAGAATTGTAGTTCAAATCTACAATGCCCTTAGTCATTGCATTAATTTAATGACTAAAATAATATATATGTATTAGCATATAATATAAGAATAATTTGATTTATATAAAATAAAAACATGAGTTTAACCTTAGTACTTTTTTTAATAGGAATCTTAGGATTCGTATTTAATAGAAAAAATATAATATTAATGCTTATTTCTATAGAAATAATGCTATTATCTATAACATTCCTAATATTGGTAAGTTCTATTAACCTTGACGATATTATAGGACAAACATATGCTATATACATTATAGTAGTTGCCGGTGCAGAATCTGCGATCGGCTTAGCTATTCTAGTAGCCTTTTATAGACTAAGAGGAAGTATTGCTATAGAATATAAATAAATGTATTTAAGTATAATTGTGTTACCATTACTAGGGTGTATAGTTTCCGGCTTTTTTGGTAGAAAAGTTGGTGTGACAGGTAGTCGTTTATTAAGTTGTCTATGTATAATATTAACAACAATATTAGCTATTATTGGCTTTTTTGAAGTAGGTTTTAATAATAACCAGGTATCTATAAACTTATTTAGATGATTACATAGTGAATCATTTAATATGGTATGAAATTTTCAATTTGATAGTTTAACAGTATCTATGTTAATACCTGTGTTAATAATAAGTTCTTTAGTTCATATCTATTCTATAGGATATATGAGCCATGATCCTTGAGGACACGTCAGGGGAAAAAGTGTCTATGGGGATAAATTGTCAAACTTCGGGGATATCCTAAAGCTTAAGGTACCAAGCTGTAGTTGAAAAACTATTAGTGGCTGAACTAATTACTCAGGTATGGTAACAAGCCTTAAGATGAGTGAAAATGAAATGGACAATCGCGAATCTAAGTCAGTAGTACGTGAAAATACTGCTGTAAAAGAGCAACGAGTAGACGGCAGTTGATCGATTAAGCCACAATTAATCGATTTAAGGTGTACTCTAAGGGGTTTCGAAAGGAACGGAGGTATAAAACTCGGTTTCAACATGCAACAAGGTTGAAACTCCTATGTCAAAGTCCCATCTAAGCAATTCGATTTGAAAAAATATTCTACCTATAATTCTACTGTTGTAAATCCTGGAGTCTGATCTGGTTTAATAGATGGTGAGGGTTCATTTAGTATAATAGTAGATAAAAATAAAACGCGTAAATTAGGTTGACGTGTTCAATTGAAATTTCAATTAGGTCTACATACAAAAGATCTGAACTTATTATATCTATTACAACAATACTTGGGTGGTATGGGTTCTATTCATATGGCTCGAAACCGAGATATAGTTAACTATTCAATAGATTCAATTGAAGATTTAAATAAACTTATTGTTCATTTCGAAAAATATCCGTTATTAACTCAAAAAGCCACGGATTTTTGATTGTTTAAACAAGCGGTAAAACTTGTAAATAATAAAGCTCATCTAACTGTCGAAGGTTTAAATCAAATAGTAAATATAAAAGCATCAATGAATTTAGGTTTATCTAACATGTTAAAATTAGAATTTGTTGGATATACTCCTGTTGAAAGACCTGTAATAAATTATGACAATGTAATTTTATACCCTAATTGAATATCAGGATTTGTCAGTGCTGAGGGAAACTTTGATGTTCGTATGCCTTCAACCAACAGTAAATTAGGTTATCGAGTACAATTGAGATTTAGAATATCTCAACATAGTAGAGATCTCAGATTAATGGAGAAAATAGTTGAATATTTAGGATCAGGAAAGATATACAAATACGGTGGTAAGTCTGCAGTTAGTTTAACAATATTTAACTTTGCAGATATTACCAATATAATAGTTCCATTTTTTAATAAAAACCCTATTATTGGTATAAAACTTTATGATTATCTTGATTGATGTAAAATTCATAGTTTAATGATTAATCGTTCTCATCTTACGGTTGAGGGTATAAATTCAATTAGAGAGATAAAATCGGGTATGAATATAGGTAGAAGTTTTTAAGATAAATAACCATTGTTAGTATTTTTTCTAGTTTACTAATCCTGATACCCTTTACAAGGGAAGATGGATATGAAAACAGCCAATAAATCAATTGCAGGATAAATTTGACTTAAAAGCATAATCAAAGATTCTTTAGCTATTTAAGCTTGTTTACTTTTATGATGATTATATTAGTAACTGGTAATAATTACCTGTTGATGTTTGTAGGGTGAGAAGGTGTGGGAGTTTGTTCATACCTTTTAGTTAGTTTTTGATTTACTAGAATTGCCGCTAATCAAAGTTCTTTAGCAGCATTTTTAACTAATAGAGTTGGAGACTGTCTTTTAACAATAGGTATGTTTGTAATATTATGATCTTTAGGTAGTTTAGATTATAATGTTATATTCTCAATAGCTCCTTATACTAATGAAAATGTTATTACTATGATAGGTATATGTTTATTAATCGGAGCTATGGCTAAAAGTTCACAGGTAGGTCTCCATATTTGATTACCTATGGCGATAGAATTTCTGTCGTAGATGGTATACGTCTAAAGTACTACCATAGCTAGCAAAACCATAAATATAGCAAGGATTAAACCCAATATATTAAAAATCCCAGAACACTCTTTTAAGTTGAATTTTAGTTAACTTAAAGAGTAGCTGGTCGTTAGGACCTTTGCCTTATTTGTATTGGAAATTTTACGTTGTAACCTAAATTAATACCAAATTTGCTGAGTAGCTTATATCAATTAGCTTTATTATTATATAAAAATCATAAGTAGCTAAGCTGTCGAGGTACGGCTCTGGGTAAGCTAATTTAATCTGGCTAGCAACTGAGGTGAAAACGGTTAACACGTTCCGTAGTGAAGACCGTCGGTATTTTAATGTATCGCTACAGACTGGTTCACCTTGGGGTGGCTGAAATGCTGCTTAATGTACAGTCGGAAGCTCAATTTATTTTACAGGTGTATTCGGAAGTTGGATGATTCCAACAATACACCCCTTGAGTTTCGGGAAGGTCCTACGCCAGTTTCCGCATTAATACACGCTGCCACAATGGTTACGGCCGGTGTATATTTATTAATTCGTTCATCTCCTTTAATTGAATACAGTACTACTGTATTACTTTTATGTTTATGATTAGGAGCAATAACTACTGTATTTAGTTCTCTTGTAGGATTATTCCAACAAGATATAAAGAAAATAATTGCTTATTCTACTATGTCACAATTAGGTATGATGGTTATAGCTATAGGTTTATCTTCTTATAATATTGCTATATTCCACTTAATAAATCACGCTTTCTATAAAGGATTGTTATTTCTTGGTGCAGGTGCTGTAATACACGCTGTAGTTGATAATCAAGACTTAAGAAAATATGGTGGATTAATGTCATTCTTACCTTTAACTTATACAGTTATATTAATAGCTAGCCTTAGTCTAGTAGCTTTCCCTTTTATGACAGGATTCTATAGTAAAGATTTTATATTAGAATCTGCTTATGGTCAATATTGCTTTAGTAGCTTAGACGTGTATTTTATAGCAGTAATAGGTGCAATATTTACTACACTATATTCAGTTAAAGTTCTATATTTAACTTTTTTAGCTAACCCTAATGGACCAGTAAATTATTATAAAAATGCTCATGAAGGGGATATCTTTTTAAGTTTACCTTTAGTTATATTAGCTCTATTTTCAATATATTTTGGTTACTTAACTAAAGATATATTTATTGGTTTAGGGTCTGGATTCTTTACAGATAATAGTATATTTATTCACCCTATGCATGAAATATTAATAGACACAGAGTTTGCTGTACCCAGTTTATTTAAATTATTACCTTTAATATTCACAGTATTATTCTCAGTTTTAGCTATTGTATATCCTGAATTTATTCCTAGTGCTATATCTAGTTTCAAATTATCTAATTTAGGGTACTATATATTTGGTTTTTTCAACCAACGTTTCTTACTAGAATTTTTCTATAATAAATTTATAGTTAATACAGTTTTAGATATAGGAGGTCAAACAACTAAAATTTTAGATAAAGGTAGTATAGAATGAGTAGGTCCTTATGGTATGGGTGTAGTGTTAACTACAATAAGTAAAACAGTTTCTAATTTAAGTAAAGGAGTTGTTACTGATTACGCTTTATATATACTTATAAGTATATGTTTTTACGTATCTATATATACTTTTGCACCAATATTCTTTGACTTAGTTAATTCTGTTATAGTATCTTGTGTAATAGTTCTAATAGCTATTCATAATTTTATAGTTAGTCTAAGTGACGTCTAAGATATTGGCCTTATCAATCAAAAAAAAAATCTGAGCTGGTTAGTAGTTGACTAATTAGTGGCCGTAGGTCCTGAAACAAACACTTAATAAACTTTAGATAGAATTTATAGACTAAAAGGAGGTTATTATATAATAACTTTCTCTACTAGACCTTTTTTTTTTGACTATTCACCTAAACGCGGCTAAGGAGGAGGCTTATCTATAGCAAGAGGAACGTAATTTTGCAGTAACTGCTATTTCTTGTGTGTGAGGGCGAGATGTGAGTCCTTCTTAATCTGTATGTGATGAATAAGGAATTTTTGTTTGTTCTCGTTATGAAGAGGTAGTTAGTAATGATATAATAGAAGCTCCAGCATGTGAACGAGATAATAATGAATCAGGATACGAAATATAATCACCTGAGCGATTGGAGCAAGTCCTTATAAAACTGGCCTATTTCAAACGCTGCACCTTATCCTGTTGTACCTACATTTGCTGTAACTCCTGATTAATGGGATATTTATACTTTGGTATTTGAATCAGGCGTTAGTAATGTAGAAGACAAAGATAAAGGAGTAGAAAAAGCAAAAAGTGAATCGCATTCAAAATCAGATAATGATAATGTAGAAGACAAAGGTAAAGGGGTAAAAAGATAAAAAAGTGATTCAGATTCCGATAATGATATAAATAAAATTCAAAAAACTGAGACTGAGGGTAAGAAAGAATCATGCATAGATTTTGTATTTTAAATTCTACAGTCTGAAATGCCTGATGAGACAAATGGAGGTGAATAATTAAATAGATAAACTTATTATCTATCCGATACTAATATCATTTTGGCTTACTTAAGTTGTAAAGTGCTGCTACTATTTATTTAGGTTTAAGATTTTTTATATTTAGAAGTGTTTATACAAAATGTTATAATAAGAATAATGGATCTGAAGGGATTATGGACAATAAACTGTTATATATAGTTAATATAATTTAAAGCTGTATACAAAATATGTAAATTAAAGACATAGGTAGTATAATAGGTAAAAATTCTATATTGAATATGCCAGCTTACTTATTTATTTGTTTAGTAAATCTTCCTAGGATAGACAGATTAAATAGTAATGTTTTAAGGCTGATTTATTTAAATATGAGCTTGCGCGAAAGTAAGCAAGAAAAAATACAAAATAGATTTAACTGATCTTATATTAGTGAAAGTATAGAGTAAATTATTTATAACAAAGTCTTTATTTTTTGTAGGATTTTACGGATAACGCTAACTGAATAAAATAAGAGGCACTAAAAGCCAATATATTTATAGAGTTTTCTTTAAGTTGTCTTTATCTAAAGCATTAAATTATGGAATATTTAATTACGATAAAACAGCTATCCATGGATATCTTCACTCAAATATTATTTTTAGGTGTAAGCTCCTTTGGCTGCTGACTGCAGACTGCTGACTGCTGACTGCTGACTGCTGACAGCTGACAGCTGACAGCTGACAGCTGACAGCTGCTTTTTTTATCTACATATTTTTATTTAGCTTGCTGGTGTAGCCCAATAGCGCACATCAGCCTTATTTCAAAACTTGCAAATTATGCAGTATATATATTTATATAAGTATATAATTTATTTAAATGCATAAGTATATTATTATTAGTTTGCTAATAAAATATATTAAAATAACCAATCCTACTTCTATTTGTTATTGTTTTATATTAATGAATAGACCTAGTGAGTACTATTATTATATAATAAGGTAATATGGTTAGGTTGTGTTATGTATAAGTATCTATGAATTTATTTAATTTAAAAATAACTACTATGAGATTATTAAAAAGTCATCCTTTTTTAAAATTAGTTAACGCTTATATAATCGATCATTCGCAACCAACCAATATAAGTTATCTATGAAACTTTGGTTCATTATTAGGACTTTGTTTAGGTATACAAATAATTACAGGTGTAACTTTAGCTATGCATTATAACCCTAGTATAGCTGAAGCATTCAATTCTGTTGAGCATATTATGAGAGACGTAAATAACGGGTGATTAATTCGTTACTTACACAGTAATACAGCTTCAGCATTCTTTTTCTTAGTGTACTTACATATAGGTAGAGGTTTCTATTACGCATCTTACAGAGCACCTAGAACATTAGCTTGAGTAATAGGAGCTATAATTCTTATCCTTATGATAGGTACAGGTTTCTTGGGTTACTTTAAAATAGCCCAAAATGATTATAATATTTATAATAGCAAAACAATTCAAACATTCAACAATAAAAGATATTATTCTACATCATATAATCCTAATGAGAAAATAAAGAACTTTTTAATATCTAAAAATCTTCAACCTGTATTTATTTATGATAATTTATATGAAGATTCTGTTCGTAAAAATATAGCTAAAGAAACTAAAGGACTTAGTGGTATTTATATGATCTTAAATAAAGAAACTTTAAGTTATTATATAGGATCTGCTTCTACAGGAAGAATAAATTCTAGGTTTACAAATCATTTAATCTATTTAAGAGGTAGTAAAGTCCTTAAAAATTCAGTTAATAAATACGGTATACATAACTTTGTATTCATTGTTTTAGAGTTATTTCCTGAAATAGTTAATCAAGAAAATAATAAGAAATTATTAAACTTAGAAGACTTTTATATAAAGTCTCTTTTACCTGATTATAATATATTAACTGAAGCTGGATCTAGTTTTGGTTATAAACATACAGAAGTAACTAGAATAAAAATGAAAACTAATTATAGTGAACAACGTAGAAAACAAATAGGAGATTTAAACAGAGGTAAAACCCTTTGTTCTAAAACAATAGAGTCTATGAGACAATCAGCTCTAAATAGAAAAGATGTAAATTATACAGAACAGGGGATTTTAAATATGAAAAAGAATTCTAAATCAATTATTGTAAAACAACTTAATAATACAGTTTATGGTGAATTTAATAGTATAGTTGAAACAGCAGAAGCTTTAAATTGTTCAACTAAAACTATACAAAGAACGTTAAAAAGTTCTAGTAAATTATTAAAAGGACGTTGAATTGTTGATTATATAAAATAATATTATAGTTATAGTCCTGTGAGTATAAAGTTTTATGTAATTTATGGAAAAAAATAAAACTTAAAGCAGAATGACCTGACAGGGTCATTGAAGAAATATAATAATTTCTTTGGCAATACTAGTGAAAACGATTAAAATATACTAATTTAGTATACAAGATCGTCGGTTCTCCATAGAATCGCGACAGACTGGGTCACTAGTAGGTAGCTGAAACGCTGCTTAATGCATAGTCGGAACTTTTTATCTATGATTTTTAGATAAATGTAATATTCGAACCAGAAAGATATTACAGCTTTTAATATAAAAGTAAGTTTGTACGTTTTACCATATGGACAAATGAGCCTGTGAGGTGCTACAGTTATTACTAACTTAATAAGTGCTATACCTTGAATAGGACAAGACGTAGTTGAGTCAAACGAAAATACAGTTTTAGTTAATTTGGCCGCTATTTGTTTGATTATTTTATTCTCAGTATTGCCTACAATAGGCGATGTACATAAAAACGCTTTAAAAAAGAATAGTAAAACATTTGATAAAAAAGATTATATTAACCTTCCTTCGTCTTTTATAGCTTTTTTAGTAGGCTTAATAGATGGAGATGGTTATATACAAATAACTAGGACAACTAAAGGATATATAACAATAAAATTGACTATTTCTTTACATTTAGATGATATTTCTACTTTAGAGTATATTCATTCTGTTTTAAAACTAGGTAGTATAAATATATATAAGGATTTGAAAAGCCCAACATGTAAACTAGTAATAAATAGAACTGAATTACAAGAAGTATTATTTCCCTTACTAATTCATAATGATATATTCTTCTTAACCGAAACTAGAGTAAATCAATTTAATGTAGCTATGCATATATTAAAAAATAATATTAAAACATATATTGAAATACCATCTAAAGATAATATTAAAGATGTGTTTAAACTTCCTTATAGTGCATATGATTACACATTGTTACATTTCTTCAATAATTGAATAATAGGATTTACATGCTCGGAAGGTTCATTTTTGCTTAAAAGTAATAATGATGGCTGTTTTCAATTAAAACAAAGAATGCATAATAATTTATTTGAAGCATTTAAATTAGTATTTAATACTAGTAGAAAAATAGATACTACTAATAACTACAGTCAATTTAGTGTCAGTTCGAAGTCTGATATACAAACTGTTATAAATTTCTTTTCTTTTAATGGTTTACATCCTTTGATAGGGTTAAAGTACATTCAATACACTAAATGATTAAAAAATCTACAAAATAGCATCCGTTATAACAAATTAAAATATCCTAAACTGTAATACGGGCTCCTTAAAAATAATATTATTTTTTAGAGGCAAATGGGGAAAATTACAAAGACATTTAATAATAGATACCTCCCTTAATTAAATTATTTGTAGCGGAACTTAATTGGGTACTTTACTGCCAAGCAGTCAGTAAATAGAATTAAGAACGTTCAACGACTAATAAGTGAGTTGTACCAACAATAAGCTTAACACGATAACCCCAAAATTTGAAGTGCTGCTGCAGCGAAGCCAGGGTGAAGCGGTTGTTCACACTAAAGCGCGCTTAAAAATTTAAGACATAGTCTAAATATATCTGAAGAGATATAAAGTATAAATTAAAAATTATATCAAATTATATTGTCATCTGAGGAGGTTTCTCTGTAAATAACGCAACTTTAAACAGATTCTTCGCTCTGCACTTTGTATTACCTTTTGTGTTAGCTGCATTAGTATTAATGCATTTAATAGCAGTGCACGATTCAGCTGGAGCTAGTAATCCATTAGGAGTACCTGGTTACTATGATAGAATACCTTTCGCTCCTTACTACTTATTTAAAGATTTAATTACTATATTCATCTTTATTTTTGTTTTAAGTATGTTCGTATTCTTTATGCCAAATGTGTTAGGGGATAGTGATAACTATATAATGGCTAATCCTATGCAAACACCTGCTGCTATAGTACCTGAGTGATAAAAGATGTTACTTAATTTCGCTATTTGCTGGAAACTCTTATATAATATGATGATCAGCAGGAAACCAAGAGATATTTATTAATATCCTTAAGGGATCTCCAGAGACTATACGCGAAACAATTTAAATTATTATTGTATTTAAAGTTTATCTAATCCTACATAAGCTACTTTTGCAGGGTTATGTAAAAACTAGCTTTAATAGATAAATTGAAGATATAGTCCGAACATAATATAAATATTATGAAATTAACATTAATTAACTTAGATCTTATTTCTATAATATTCTTTATTAACACTTTAGTATTACAACGTAGTACAAAAGGTATAAAACGTTTATCCTCTGCCGAAAGATCCTTAATAGAATTGCCTGATGAGGTTAAAGAGGTATTAATAGGTATTTTACTAGGGGATGGTCATATAGTAAAAAGATCACCCAAAAGCAGTTCTAGATTAGTATATGCCCAAACAGCTATATCCCACAAAGAATACTTTCATTATGTATTTAGTTTCTTTCTACCTTATTGTACCAAAGACTATGAATTACAATCTAGAATATTTAAGGATAATAGAACTAAAGAAACATACAGTGCAATATCCTTTACAACTATGCAACTCCCTTGTTTTAACATATTTAGAGAAATGTTTTATGGATCCGTTAAAAAAGTACCAGATAACATTTATGAATTATTAACTCCTAGAGGCTTAGCTTTTTGATTAATGGATGATGGAAGTAGACATGGTAGTGGTATGCATATAGGTGTTTATGGGTTTACTAATGAAGATGTAGATAAACTGATGTTTACATTACAGGATAAATTTCATTTAAAATGTTCTATACATTATAATAAAGATAATAAACCCCGGATTTATATATTTAAAGAATCTATGGAAACTTTAATAACATTAGTAAAACCTTATTTTATTAAACAAATGTTATATAAACTGGGATTATAGAATATTAAATCTAACGTTAATTTATATTTACGATCTTTTACCTTTTTATGCTATACTAAGATCTATACCTAATAAATTATTAGGTGTTATAGCTATGTTTAGTTCACTATTAATTATTTTAGTGCTACCTAAAGCAGATTTAGGTATAACTAAAGGTTTACAATTCAGACCTTTAAGCAAAATAATGTTCTATGTATTTGTAATAAACTTCTTGATATTAATGCAATTAGGGGCTAAACATGTTGAAAGTCCATTTATAGAATTAGGACAAATCAGTACAGTTTTATATTTTTCTTACTTCTTAGTTATAATTCCTGTTTTAAGCATAATAGAAAATACTTTAATAGACTTATATCAAAATAATAAACTTAATTATAAAACTAATTAGATCTAATAGTAATACTTGGAAACGTTTTGTCCTAGTACTACTAAATAAATAAATTTATATAATCTTTACGTTAAATATAAAAAGATTATGTTGTAAACGGATTTACACTTTGATTGCAAATCATTAGTATGAGGTTCAATTCCTCCATAATCTTTATTTTCATAAGTGAAAGTTTAATACTAGAACTCTTAAGTAATTTACTATATATATGTATATAGAATATATTTATAGGTATATAAATATATTTATAAATATAAAACTAATTAAATTTTGTACTTAGCTTGGAGCATTAAATGTAGCAGGTGGGAGTACATTCGAATTTTTATCATTAGTGAAGAGCTAAAAATACGAATAGTCTTACGAAAATGTAAAAATTTGCGTAGAGTGACAACATACATACAATACTGCTAGTATAGTTGACTACTTTACTTTATTAGTTTAACTAATAATAACACTCTATTAAGTGTACTCCACATATAATTTATAATTTTTAATACTAAACAACGAAAAGAAAATGGACAAGAAGAAGGAGACAATCTCGCCTTAAGTTTAAGGTCTGAAATATCTATGGCTATGGAAAGATGATTTAATTCCACTAACGCTAAAGATATAGGAACTTTATACTTAATATTTGCTTTATTTTCAGGATTATTAGTACAGCATTTTCAGTGATTATACGATTAGAACTTAGTGGACCTGGGGGTTCAATTCATATCTAATAACCAGTTGTATAATAGTATTGTAACCGCTCACGCCATATTGATGATTTTCTTTATGGTTATGCCAGCCTTAATTGAAGATTTGGAAACTTCTTATGCTTTTTTAATTGGAGGATTTGGAAACTTCCTTATGCCTTTAATGGTAGGGGGTCCAGATATGGCATATGGTATGCCAGCCTTAATGGAGGATTTGGAACCTCCTATGCCTTTAATGGTAGGGGTCCAGATATGGCAAGCAAACCCAAGGCCTTTTAATAAAAAGCAAAAGATATTTAGTGCAAAAGTCTCTATTAGAGCTTCTTCTGTAACCAAGCAACAAGAAGAAAAAAAAGCAGCTTTTTCAAAAAGAAAAGAAGCAAAAAAGCCTTCCATATCCGAAGGATCAGCCAAGCAGCAATAAAAAAAAATGTACTGCCTACTTCGCGCTTTTTTTGTGTAGCACCCCGTAAGGGAAATGAAAATAATAATTTCGCTTGATATTTTGCAGGTTGATTTGATGCAAAGGGTAATATTAGATGATTATATCGTCAAAATTTTAATAGTAGTCCTATCTTAGCTATATATTTTAGCTTAAATAATGAACCATTAGTTAAAGAATTGCTTAAAATTTTTGGTTCAGCTTATGCTGAAAATACAAATGATAGTTGTGTATTAATGATTACCTCTAAAGCAGATTTAAAGAAATTCGTTTTTTTGATTAATGGTAAATTAAGAACATTAAAAATTTTTATGTTATATGAATTGATGGATTGATTGAACAATAACCATTATACAAATATAAAGAAGTTACCTTTAAACGAGAATTCTTTACATAATGACGCTTGATTAAGTGGATTTATGGATCTAAAAGGAAGTTTTTCTATGCGACATACTGAAACTAAAAAAAGAAAAATTACTTGTAGATTAAGAATAGAAATACAAAAAATAGATCCTGATACATATAATATAAATTTAAAGGTTTTAACAAGTATAGCTGAATTTTTTGGTGGTAAATTATTAATTAGAATACAAAAATCTACAGGTAAAGAGTTTTATCTTATTGTATTATGAAAAAAAGAATCTTTAGATATATTGGTAAGATATTTAGATAAATATCCTTTATATTCAAGTAAATATTTAGATTATAAGGATTGAAAAGAAATTGTCTTATTATTGTTAAAAAAAAAACTTTATACAAAGAAAAATATAACTAAAATAGATTCTGCTAAAAATAGCATGAATAGTAAAAGAACTCTTTTCAATTGAGACCATTTAATTAATTTATTACCCTAGGATTGCCATATTTAGGTATTTTAAAGGAATGCCGTTAAAAAGTGTAAATTTTTTAATAATAACTTCGCTATATGCATGGAATATCTCGAAAAAGCTTAGCTTTATAAAAAATAGCGTAGCGAAAATTATATAGAGACCTTTTGACTTTGTTTTGAAGCCTATAACAAATATAATTATAGGTAGCGAAACTATATAATTATGAGAACAATATGCAGGAAACCAAAGTAATTTTTTTATACAAAGGGATCCTCAGAGACTACACGCGAAGCCCCCTCATAGGGGTGAAGACATAGTCCGTTTCAGTAGGTGACTACTAGTTTTGACTTCGGTAAGATTCCCTAGATTAAACAATATCAGTTTTTGATTATTACCTCCTAGTTTAGCCCTATTAATTTTCTCCGCCTGTATAGAAGGTGGAGCAGGGACAGGTTGAACTCTTTATCCTCCTTTATCAGGATTACAAAGTCATAGCGGACCTAGTGTAGACCTTGCTATATTTGCTTTACATCTTTCAGGTGTAAGTAGTTTATTAGGAGCAATAAACTTTATAACTACTATAGCTAATATGAGAACACCAGGTATAAGACTACATAAATTAGCTTTATTTGGATGAGCTGTAGTTATTACAGCTATTTTATTGTTATTATCATTACCTGTGTTAGCAGGAGGAATCACGATGATTTTAACAGATAGAAACTTCAATACTTCTTTCTTTGAAGTAGCCGGAGGGGGTGATCCTATATTATTCCAACATCTTTTCTGATTCTTTGGTCATCCTGAGGTTTATATCTTAATTATACCAGGTTTCGGTATAATTAGTACAACAATCTCAGCTAGTTCAAGCAAACCTATATTTGGTTATATAGGTATGGTTTACGCTATGATGTCTATAGGGATATTAGGATTTATCGTCTGAAGTCATCACATGTATACTGTAGGACTGGACGTGGATAAACAGGTGTTCACGGTAAAAATCTTGCTATGTGCTGGAAACTTCTGTATAAATAGTCCACTCGTGTTTATTACGTTAGGAACAATCTACTTATTTTCAGAAAAATCAGCAAGTAACTTTGCTATTGATAGAATAGCTATGGCAATAACTAAAAATACTTATGATAAATATACTAATTTACCTTGAATTTCTGATCATTTATCTAAATATAGAACCAATCTTACAGATGAGGAATTGGGTTATTTTCTTGCAGGATTAATAGAAGGTATTGGTTGATTTGATAAAAAACAATTGCATATTGTTTTTAAACAATCTGATGTTTCATTAGCTTACTATATTAGAAAACAAATAGGGTATGGTAGTATAGATAAAATTGATGATAAAAAAGCAGTAAGATATATTTGTAAAGATAAAAAAGGTTTGTTTATTATCTTATCTTTAATAAATGGTAAATTTGTAACTGAATCTAAATATAATCAATTGATTCGACAAAATTACAGTAAATATTTTAATATTAGAATTTTACCTCCTTTAAAAAGATTATTTTTAGATAATTTTTGATTAGCAGGGTTTACTCAAGCTGATGGTTGTTTCTATATTAATATTGTTAAAAGTCCAACAAATGAAACAGGATATAGCGTAAGGTTAGAGTATTCTATAAAACAAAAGGATAAATTACCTCTAGAACTTTTACATGATCATTTAAAGACGGGTAATATTACTCAAGATGGCTCAGGTATATGGTATTATAAAAGTTCAGATTTTAACACAGCAGCTCGTTTAATAAATTACTTTGATAAGTATCATGTATTTGGAGGAAAATATGTAAATTTTATTAAATTTAGAAAAGTATATAGAATGATTAGAGAAGGTAAGCATTTACAAAGTAAAGGTATAAAAAAAATTATAAGTATTGCAACTAAAGGATCTTCAGAGACAAGTACGCAAGAAATTTAATACAGGTATATAAAAAAGAAGAAACTTCTCTTACTGCTGCTGCAGTTGCTGTTCTTTCTCTGCGTAGCATGTACGCTCCGTATTCCGATTTCTTCCTACTGCTTTGTGCTTATCCTTATTCATATGGATAAGCAAGCTAAAACTAAGAAAAAAAAATCAGCAGCGTGCGCTTTGCTAAGAAAAAAGATAGCTAACAAAGCATTAAATATAGCTTCCTTATCCCCTTTTATGATCCCTAGTTTGCAAACCCGTAAGATATGCAAGCTAGGATAAGAAGCATTATTACATAGAAGCATCCGGTTTTCAATATATTATAGTGCAAAATAGGGGATATGGGTGTAGCTTTGTATTCTGAACCTCTGGTTCAGAAAAATAAGCAAGCAGGCAAGCTACCCTGACAATACACAGTTATCTACTTTATTAACTTAAGATACTGTCCTTTTGGACTAGAGCTTATTTTACAGCTGCAACACTAATTATTGCAGTTCCTACAGGGATAAAAATTTTCTCTTGATTAGCTACATGCTACGGGGGGTCTATAAAAATGACACCTTCAATGTTATTTTCACTAGGTTTCGTCTTTATGTTCACAATTGGAGGGTTAAGTGGAGTTGTATTGGCAAACGCATCACTTGATATTGCATTCCACGATACTTACTATGTTGTTGCTCATTTCCATTATGTTTTAAGTATGGGAGCAGTATTCGCTATGTTTGCAGGGTGATATTTTTGAATACCGAAAATGTTAGGTCTAAATTACGATTTAACTTTAGCTAAAGCACAATTTTGACTTTTATTTGTAGGTGTTAATCTTACATTTTTCCCTCAACACTTTTTAGGTCAACAATAGGCCTTTTTTCATAGCGATATGAAATTTATACAACACTATATGCTAGAAACTCTATTTAACTTTAGGCTTTACAAATAGACATAGACAATTAGCAGGAAACCAAAAAGTAAATATATATTTACTTTAGTAGGATCTTCAGAGACTATACGTGTTGCAACTTTTAAGTTGAAGAAATAGTCCAAATAACATAGCGATATGTTTATATATCTTGCCAGTTTATGAACCTTGTTGTCTTTTAACTTCTAAAGATCATAACTATAATAATCATATATTCTTAAAGAGTGATTGTGATGAATACCCTAATAAAGATTCTAATCAATTAAATAGTTTAGATTTACATAGTATTAAAGATACTTTAAGTACTACTTATGAACCAGAACAAGATCCATATGATGAAGACTTTGTTCAAAAAACAATAAATAGTAATAATTTAATTACTGTTAAACCTAAATACCAGTTTAATCAAGAACAAAAATTATATTTGATTGATTTAAAAGTCACTCCAGTTTCTCATGTATATAATCTTTTAAAAGATAGAGAAACTATTTTAAAGGAATATAAGAATAAAGGTGGTATTTATATTATACACAATAACGTAAATGGAAAGCAATATGTAGGTAGTGGTAAGGATTTAAGCAAAAGACTAGCTACTTATTCTTTTCCTTCTCGTTTAGTTGATAGCCGTTATATTTATAATTCTATTTTAAAATATGGGCATGGTAATTTTTCTATTGTAATTTTATATGTTTTAGGTAATACTGGTACATTTACAAAGAAAAATATTGTTCATAAAGAACAACAATATATTAATTTATGTAAACCTATACTTAATTTGAACCCTAGGGCTGGATCTAGTATGGGATTTAAACACTCAGAAGAATCTAAAAGACTTATATCTGAATTCCGTAAAGGTAAACCTCTACCTGAACACACTAAAAAGAGACTTAGTGTTTTATTTTCGGGTGAATTAAATCCTTTTTAATCTAAAGTACACTCTCCTATTACTTTAGAGAAAATGAGTAAATCTAAACTAGGTGCTTTAAATCCTATGTTTAATAAGGAAAAATCTAAGGAATTTATTGCACATATGAATAAAGATAGAGCGGGTTCTAATAATCCTATGTTTGGTAAAACTAAATCGGAAGAAACCTTAGCCAAATTAAGAAAGAAGGTTTATATTTATAACAGTAATAAGCAGTTTATTAAATGCTATGATAGTGTAGGATTTATTGTAAAAGATTTACACATAGCAGCTGGAACTATTAAAAAGTATTTAGATACGGATAAACTTTATAAAGATAAATACTTTTATTCAAAATTACAATAAATTTATTTATAAGCAAGATATAAAAATGCTACAAGGTATGCCTAGAAGAATAGGCGACTATCCTGATGCATTTTCAGGATGAAATTTAATAAGTAGTGTAGGATCTATAGTAAGTGTAGTGGCCGCTTGATTATTTTTATATATTGTTTACAAACAATTAGTAGAAGGTAAAGTAGCTAGTAGAAATCCTTGATTAACACCAGGGTTCTACACAGATATACTACAAGCTAATTTAAACAGATGTTATAGTAGTTTAGAGTGAGGGTTAACAAGCCCACCTAAACCTCACGCATTTGTAAGTTTACCTTTACAATCTACAATTAATTTAACTTAGACTATATTATTTTTGTGTAGTTCAGTAATTGGTATTTTATTAGGATAATTTAGGTGTGTAAGTAGCCCCTAGGGCTGCTTCGCTGGAAAAACAAATATTTGAATTTTTTTTTGTGATAATAGTAGATTTATTATCACTTTCATTTTTAGTATATTAATATTAACAATGATTTTTATTATATTAGATCATTCTATAATAACTGCATATTGTCTTGATGAAGAAAATCTGCACTGTAAAAATTTACAGAGGCTACAGTTAAAGTTGCAAAAGATTGTGAAGTACAATATTCAATTTATGAGAATAAAGTCAGTTTTGAGGCAGGAAAAGTAGATGTTAATATACCTTCTGGTGTATTAAATAATGTGGGCTATTATGGAGGACTCTACTACTGTCGTAGGAGGATTAAGTGTAGGTGCAGGTTTAGCGGCTAAAAGTGGTTCTCTCTTAGTAAAAGCTGGATTTGCTAAGGAAACAAGTATTTTAGCAACAGTATACTTTAGGTGCTACTACAAATAAACGTATTGATAATAATTCTAATATAAAAGATGAAGTAAATGTATCTAAAAATGAAAGTCCATATTCAGCTAAATCTATGATTGGAGAAGGAGATAATGACTTATTTACAGCTCAATACGCAATAGATTTTCTAAATACTTATTTAATGTTAGATGGTGTAATATTATACCTGCTTTTTACATTAATAATTTTTTTTATAGGTACTAAAGTAGCATAAAATAAAATTAGTTTAAATTGAATCAAAGCTTTGCCCATTAGCAATAATATATATGTAAGATTAGAAAAATTGATAAAGAGGTAAGAATAGTTTTATTTTCTTTATATTAAATTGAATTGTTATTGTTATAAGTATGATTTTTTTTATTTATTATTTAAATTGATTTATTATTAATTTTTAAGATATTTGTTATATATATGTTAACACAAAAAACAAATAGAATATCGTGTAATATATAATTACTTAATAATTTATAAAATAACTGCTCATAATATATCCACCCTAAATTAAAATATTCCTTATTTATATTATAGATAGGATATTTTAAGTCTCATTAGCTCAATGGTAGAGCATAATACTTCTAATATTACGATCTTAGTTCAATTCTGAGATGAGGCTAGCGTTCCTTGTGCTAGTGAAGCATAGCTAGGAATGCTACTTTGCTTTAGCACTTATTCCCTAGTATTTATATTGCGAAGCAAGGCTGCGCTATTAATAATAAATAGTCTATTAATTATTCAATATTATTGGCTGTTTTTGCTGCGCAAGCTAGCTGCTGCTTATTTTTTGTGCTTATCTATAAAGATAAGCAAGCTAAAGCTAAGAAAATATCAGAATTATGCCAGCCTACTAAATTATCTAAAGTTTAATATGTCCTACCTAAGTATAAATTATAGCTACTAATAAAACCAGTATTTATTTATAATTAGCGATGTATTATTAACTTTATATAAAGTTATAAAAAAAAATTAAAAGAAAAATGAATTTACCTACAACTATTATTTCAATAATTGAAAATTTAGTTTTAATGTTACCTGCGTTACTGGTAGTGGCATATGTAACTGTAGCTGAAAGAAAAACTATGGCCAGTATGCAAAGAAGATTAGGTCCTAATGCTGTAGGTTACTATGGTTTATTGCAGGCATTCGCCGATGCTTTGAAATTAATTTTAAAAGAGTATGTTGCACCTACACAAGCTAATTTAATTTTATTTTTTTTAGGTCCTGTAGTAACATTAATATTTGCTTTATTAGGTTATGCTGTTATCCCATACGGACCTGGATTATCTTTAGGAGATATGGAATTAGGTATACTATTTATGCTAGCTGTTTCATCTTTAGCTACTTATGGTATTTTATTAGCAGGATGAAGTGCTAACAGTAAATATGCTTTTTTAGGGTCTTTAAGAAGTACAGCCCAATTGATTAGCTATGAATTAGTTTTAAGTTCAGTATTATTAATCATAATAATGATAACAAATAGTTTAAATTTAAATATAAACGTACAGTTTCAAAAAATAGTATGATTAGCTTTACCTTTATTTTGTATACTAATAATATTCTTTATAGGTTCTGTAGCAGAAACTAACAGAGCTCCTTTTGATTTAGCAGAGGCTAAATAGATTTGGCCTCTTTAAAAATCACAAATTGCTGAAATATCTTTATTAAGACAATCAGCAGGGAAAGAACCTTTATATGGTTAGATCTTCAGAGACTAAAGGTGATTATTTAACATTAAGTGTTGAATGTGATATAGTCCAGACTTATATGAAAATATAAGATTAATAAATAAAAAATATCTATATACAAATTAAATTCCTACACCAAAGCCAATAATTATGTATTTTCTTCTTATAATATCTTTAGAGAAACAAAGAGATTTTATTCTTATAAACCTATCCTATCTTTTAAAGAGACCGTCTTTGTTAATCCTGTACCTATCATAATATTAGAAAATTTATAAGATAGAATTTATATAAGTTCATACGGAGAAAAATAAAGGGGGTATTTACTCTTTCATTAAAGGTAAACAATATATAGGCAGTACAAAATATTTTTATATTAGACTTAACGAACATTTAAACAATAAAAAATCTAATATAAGAGCTTGCGCTAGTCAGTGGAGGACTACGACTACAAAAAGCTTTCAATAAATATGGGCTAAGTAAGTTTCATTGAGTTATTTACGAATATTTTAGCTACGAAAGTAGAATAATAAGCGATAATGCTTTAACTACCTTAGAAATTAGCTATATAAAAGCCTTTAGTTTTAATAATCTTTATAATTTTAAATATGAAGCTTCAAGTATGTTAAACTATAAACATACAGATGAAGTTAAGATAAAAATGATAGAACGTTTAAAAAATAAGAATAATCATCCAATGTATGGTAAAAATCATAGTACGGTAGCGCTAGGTTTAATAAGTAAGCCTGGAATATTAAACCCTATGTATGGCAAAAATTATAGTAAAGAAATAAAATAAATTATGGCTATGAAGAAAAATAAATATTTAAATGGTGTAGGTATATTCAATCTAAATGACAATTGAATTCCAAAATTCAATAATAATAATGTAGAATTAACCAATCATTTGGGTATATCGAAAGTTATCATTGGTAAGTACATATACAACAATTGTATATACAAGGATATGTATAAATTTAAACCTGTATAATATAGATATTTTTATCTTTGGAATCAGAATTAGTTAGCGGATTTATGACCGAACACGCAGCTGTTATATTCGTTTTCTTCTTTTTAGCCGAATATGCTAGTATTGTGTTAATGTGTATATTTATAAGTATTTTATTCTTAGGAGGTTATTTAATACAATTCGACTTCCTTTATATATTTGATTCATTAAGTTTTATACATGCTTATCTATTTGACATAGAATGAACTACATCTACAGAATACTTTAAAACAAGACAACTTTTAACTAGTTCTTCTGTAGATGGGTTATTGTCTAGTTTAACTTTAGGTATAAAAAGCTCAATAATGGTTTTTGTATTTATTTGATGCCGGGCGTCTTTTCCTAGAATTAGATTCGACCAGTTGATGTCCTTCTGTTGAACTGTCTTACTGCCTATATTATTTGCATTTATAATATTAATACCTTCTTTATTATATATGTTTGGGATATACTTTATAAATATAAATTTATTCTAATTACATATCAATTAAATATAGTATAGCCGTGAAAGTCCGCAGTATATGAATGACTTTAAATTATATATTGTATAAGATGTCTTTACTTAACAAAAAAATTAAACTCAATAATATACCTAGTGATATTAATATCAACTATATATTTAAAGATAATTATTAGCAGCTTAGATGTTGTGCTTCTGCTCTTCTATAGCACTGCTTCTATGAACAAAGCTCTATTTATGCTGCGAAGCATGCATCCGATAGGTTACCAGTAAAAAGTCAGGAGAGGTATATTGGACATCTTGTATTTATTTTAGCAGAGCTAGTCTGTTAGCTGGGCTAGAAAAACAGCAGCAGGCTTGCCACTTATAGGGTTGCTTATTCGCGAAGCCTGATAGGCTTTAACTTATTGCACAATAGCGTAATATATAATAATATCAAAGAATTGCATTATCACTTATTTTATGCTAGGCTGCTGCAATTATAATTTGCTTATTTCATATAAGTATAGCATCTAAAGCATGCTAACCATCTTTATTATATATGTTTGAAATATACTTTATAAAATATAAGCTTTGTTCGCTAGCTTGCATATATTTATTGTATTTAGTCGGCAAGAAGCCAGCCAGTCAGCGTATATTTTAGAGCTCACTATTTTTGAATATTTAACCATGTAATGCATGTCCATTGGTCTAGGCTTAGCTAAGTAGTAAGCTAAAGCTAAAAATCTAAAATTCCAAGATAATATCTTTTGTATAATGTTATTATCCTTTTTATTAACTGTACCTGTTATAGGTGCAATTATAATAACTAGTATAAACTCCTACTCTGAAAAAAAAAAATTAGTTTATACTAAAATTATAGTACTTATTACTAGTGTAATAAACTTGATTATATCTTCAATTATTTTTATAATATTTAATAATAGCACTAATCAATTTCAATACGTACAAGAACATTATAACATTCAATTATTTGATATTTATTTAGGTCTAGACGGTATAACGATATACTTTATGTTATTAACTACAATAATAATACCTGTAGCGTTATTATCAAATTGAGATTCTATAAAAGAAAATAAAAAATCTTATTTAGTTATAATGCTATTGTTAGAGACGTTGTTATTAGCCGTATTCATGACATTAGATATAATGTTATTCTATATATTCTTTGAAAGTATCTTACCTCCTTTATTTATATTAATTGGATTATTTGGGTCTGATAATAAAATAAGTGCTAGTTACTATTTATTTTTATATACATTATGAGGTTCATTATTTTTATTATTATCTATATTAAGTACATCATCTACTATGGGTAGTACTGATTTTGATACTTTATTTAAATTAAACTTAGAGTATAAAACACAAATATTCTTATTTATAGGGATATTTATAGCGTTTGCTGTAAAAACACCGGTTTATGGCCTGAATAATTGACTACTAAAGGCACACGTAGAGTCACCCCTTGGTGGTAGTATTGTTTTAGCCGGAATTGTTCTTAAATTAAGTCTATATGGTATATTTAGACTAATTTTACCTATACTACCTAAAGTTACATTAGATTACACTTTCATAGTTTATGTTATAGGAACCATAACAGTTCTTTATGCTAGTTTTAGTACTATTAGAACTACAGATATTAAAGAGTTAATTGCATATTCTTCAGTAGCTCATGCTTCAGTATACTTAATGAGTGCTTTTAGTAACACTATTCAAGGTATAGAAGGTTCTATAATATTAGGATTAGCACACGGATTTGTATCAAGTGGTCTTTTTGTTTGCGCAGGTGGAGTTTTATACGATAGAACTGGAACTAGATCTATATACTTCTACAGAGGTTTAGCACAATTAATGCCTATGTTGTCATTATTGTTCTTTATCTTATGTTTAGGTAATTGTGGAACTCCTTTAACTTTCAATTTCATAGGGGAGTTCATGTCTTTATCTGGTATTACTGAAAGATTACCATTGATGGGATTCTTGGCTTGTACATCTATTGTATTATCTGCCGCCTATTCGATTTATATGTTTAATCGTATATCTTTCGGAGGTTCATTTACTAGATTCCTAGAACAATCAATATCAGATGTAAATAAAAGAGAATTCTCAATATTATTTGGATTAGTTCTTTTCACAGTAATATTAGGTATATACCCTGGTATGATCTTAGACGTATTACATTATTCTGGTACTAATATGCTTTATAGTCTATAATCTCTTAATTGTTTATATAACGATTATATATCCCTAGGTATATGTTAATATAAAATACCCAAAAAGCAGCAGCTGACCGATATAATACTTTTAAATCAATAATAAGAAAGTTTAGCTCTAAGGTAAAAAAAGAATGAATTGATAACAACTATAACCTAAATTATTCGCTTCTTTACTTTCATTTATTATTACCCTACCATTATTGTTTGCTATTAAATATTTAGTTTATGTTCATATGGACATAAATTTATTGAACATTGAGAATAATCCTTTCTTCGGCTATACAACTTTTACGGCTGTATCTAGATTTTTATATAAATTTTTTATAGAGGCGATAATTAAAGAAAGGGGAGGTTTTTATGGCTGATCTATAAATACAAATACATTATATGGTGGTCCATATAATCCATAATTATATGCAAAAAAAAAGTAGTATAATGAATGCACAATCATTTAATACACAACAAGGTAGTTATTCTATTAACTCTTAATCACCTCTAGCGCAATCTTATAATAAACCAGAACAAGGTGGTCTAACACCTTCTCTAATATCACCACAAACCGGTAGTTCTAACTCTCCACTTAGGTAACAAGTTCTTGATATAAGTTTCTTATTACCACATCATTATGAATTTAGGCATAATATAATTAATAAGATAGATAATAATGCCTTCACGTAGATTAGAAACAATAAATTTAGGTCATAGTAGTGAATTCGTATAAGGCTTTAGGCATTTTAATAAATTGGAAAAAAATTTATTGTTACACTAAGTGGTGCATAAACACCTCAAATAATTACATCTGCTCCACAACTACGAGGTTGGCGTATGGCCATAGTTACTAAAGGAAGTAAAAGAGGTATAAGTATTCATGGTTTTAGATTAGATTGCCAGGATAAAGTTCGTCTTAGTGATTTAGTTAGATTGAAAAAATACCAAGATGGTTCTTTGAATTGAGTAACTATTTCAAACTCAAAAGAAGATTTAAATCATGTAAGAAGAGCAATCTAGGAAACACAATTCTAATATTGCTTATTATACTTAGTGCTCACAGAACATATTTTTCTTGTTTGTGCGCAAGCTAAAGATAAAATCATAAGTCTGCTGCTGCGTAATGGCAGCCAGCCTGCGTATATTTTATAGCTCGTCTTTTTATGATTTTAACTTCTTGCTATTTTTTTTTCTTAGTAAAGCGCACGCTGCTTATTTGTTAAGCAAGAAAAAAATCTGAAATATGCCAATTTCATCCTTCTCCTGTGCTTTGCTATCCCAGTAGTTATACAGGAGGGGCATCCTTCACACTAAGAGCTATACAGAGCTGGCCAATAATAGGCCAGAGTTCATAAATCTATAAATTTAATCAATTTTTAAGGTTGCGCTGCTTATTATCCCTATAGGAAGCACTTATAACTCTCTATTATATTAATAACTAAATCTAATAAACCTATATATCAGTCGTATTCATAGTAGTATTTAGTATGTACTATTTATTAATATTAAACGTATTAAACTATCCTAAAAATGGTTTAATATATAGCATATAATGTGCTTTAAATTTGTTTACGATTAAAATAAAATACGTATTATATATCCAATTTTTAAAATTAAATATGCCACAATTAACACCTTTTTATTATATGAATGAAATAGTATTTGCTTTTGCTATAATAGTATTAGTTTTATACATTTTATCTAAATATATACTACCAAGAATAGTTCGTTTATTCTTATCACGTATGTTTATTAATAAAATATAATATAATAAATATACATTTTATAGTGTTAATACTATAAGTAATTAGTTATTTAAAGATCTATATATTAAAGTAGTAATATATACTACTTATGTTTTCTACATTATTTACAGAAATAAGAAGTCCCTTAGATCAATTTGAAGTAAGAGATATATTAAATTTGGAAGTTTTAGGAGGTAACTTACATTTATCTTTAACAAATATAGGATTTTATTTAATAATTGGGGGTTTAATAACATTAATATTAAGCTTAGTCGCAACTAACTATAATAAATTAGTAAGTAACAATTGATCTATAGCTCAAGAATCTCTATACGTAACAATACACAATATAGTTACAAATCAAATAAATGCTAAAAATGGACAAATTTATTTCCCATTCATATATACTTTATTTGTATTTATATTAATAAATAATTTAATCGGTATGATACCATATAGTTTTGCATCTACAGGTCATTTTGCTTTAACATTTGCTCTTAGTTTTACAATAGTATTAGGGGCAACAATTTTAGGGTTCCAAAAACATGGTTTAAAATTCTTTTCTTTATTAGTACCGGCAGGTTGTCCTCTAGGTCTTTTACCATTATTAGTTACTATTGAATTCATCAGTTATCTTGCAAGATGTGTATCTCTTGGTTTAAGATTAGGAGCTAATATCGTAGCAGGTCATATGTTATTAAGTATTTTAAGTGGTTTTGTTTACAATATAATGTCTTCAGGTATAATTTTTTTTATTGTGGGTTTAATTCCGTTACTATTTATAGTAGCCTTCTCCGGTTTAGAGATGATGATTGCCTTAATCCAAGCTCAAGTTTTCGTAGTATTGACAAGTTCTTATATAAAAGATGGACTAGACTTACATTAATATTTTATAGTTTGGTAAGGTAGGTCGCTGGTTGTTAGTCTATTCTAGTTGCAGCGCTGCTGCTTTCTCTTATAAATTTAAGCAAAGAGCGTAGACAATATGCCCTTTATTTTGTGCGTACCTATGCGTACCTATAAAAAGCTTATTACATAGAAGGATATAAGCAGCTAGTCCTTAGCACAATTAGTATAGTTGTTAGTAGTGTTATCTAGTTGTGACTTGCGTGAAAGTGCTGCTTCATATAAAAAAAATACCGTAGCCTGCAATAAGGCGCGCCTTAACATATCGCACATAACAACCAAAAATGTGCATAAAATTGATGGCTCAAAAATATATTTTTTTTCGTAGCTAAAGCTATTTATGTACTGCTTGGCTACCTAAAAATATAAGTGAGAGTAAAAAGTAAGTAAGGAAAATTATATAAACAATAAAAATTTATCCTTATAAGGAAGAATAAAAATTTATAAATAATGGTAGAAATTAGTGCTTGTGCATCTTAGCTGCTGTAGCTGTTGCTCTGGTTGTTGCTGCAGAATCTGCAGCAGGCTTAGCAGCTTCTATAATGAAGCCGCTTATGGATAGTTCATTTATTCAAAGTCTAGCTTTAGAGGTAAGACTTAGTGTATGTACAAGGCGAACAAATGAAAATTTTTTATTAGTATAGTATTTATAAATAGAACATTATATAATTTATCACTCTCCTTATATTCAAATTATTAGAACTTATAGTGATGTAATGAACATTTATTTCACCAAAAGAAAGTTTGGTGTTTTGTATGAGTGAAAATTACATCAAAAAATAATAGTTGAGTTTGGTGATGGCTCTGATTGAATACTGTCCAAGTGCTTGACACATGCTAATCGTACGTTTTAATTTTTAATTTTAAGTGACTTACAATCCTTAAGGCTATTAATTAAAAAGTGGTGTACAGGTGAGTATAAAGATATAATTCGCCGACCTTAAAGAGAAGGTAAATCCTTCATAATAAATAAAGGGATACAGTTCCTGCTTTAAGAGGATGATAAATATCTTCGAGACAGGTAGTAGTTAAGGTGATGACTTAACTAGCCGACAACTCTCGTAGTCGAATCTGAAAGGTTGATCGACCACATTGGGTCTGAAAAAACCCCTATGCAAATTAGTACAGCAGTGAGGAATTTTGGTCAATGGCCTAACGGCTGAACTGGCAACTTGGAGAAGTGGCAAGTCCTATTTTGATCATATCTTAAAAGATGATCTATAGGATTGTATTAAAATTGAATAAAGCTTTGTTTATATATTGATAATGACAATATATATATTGTGTCTTGACTAATTACGTGCCAGCAGTCGCGGTAATACGTAAGAGACTAGTATTATTCATCTTAATTAGGTTTAAAGGGTACCTAGACGGTCAATATAGCTTATATAATGTTAGTACTTGACTAGAGTTTTATATGAGAGGGGAGTACTTGAGGAGGAGAGATGAAATTCTTTAATACCAAAGGGACTCGGTAAAGGCGAAGGCACCCCTTTAGGTCAAAACTGACGTTGAGGGACGAAGGCACAGAGAACAAACAGGATTAGATACCCCAGTAGTCTTTGCAGTAAATGATGAATGCCATAGATTAGATGAACAATTTAATAATTTAGTTCGTCAGTAAACAATTAATATTAAATATTATTTGGTCTATAAATGAAAGTGTAAGCATTCCACCTCAAGAGTAATGTGGCAACGCAGGAACTGAAATCACTAGACCGTTTCTGACAACAGTAGTGAAGTATGTTGTTTAATTCGATGATCCACGAAAAACCTTACCACAATTTGTATAATAATATTACAGGAGTTGCACGGCTGTTTTCAGTTAATGTTGTGAAACTGTGGTTTCCATGAAATTAACGAAATCCCTGGCTTTATTTTTGGAATTCTACAATAAAGCATTAGATCCTGGAGATTTGGATAGAAAAAGGGGACAAAGACAAGTCATCATGGCCTTTATATTGTGGGCTATAGACGTGCCACATATTCCTAGACAAAGAGATGCAAAAATGTGAATTTAAGCTAATCTCAAAAAATAGGATAAAAATTTTAAGGATTGTAGTCTGAAATTCGACTACATGAATAAGTAATTACTAGTAATCGTGAATCACCATGTCACGGTGAATGAATCTCGGATTGGTACTAACCACTCGTCACATGCTGAAAAGAGCTTACGCAATAAGTTTGCTTTCTTAGTAATTAGTAAAAAAAACATATAGGTTTTGTGTAGATATTATATCTATGAACAGCACCAAAGCTGTCTATTATCGGGGATCTTCGTATGCGTGGTTCTAATTAGTGTTAAGTCGAAATACGGTTCGTGTAGTGGAAGTTGCACGGGATTGATGAACATAAACTATGATTTTATATTTTTTTATATAAAGGAGGGTTCCTTTATTGGCAAGAAGGGTTGAGCTGTAAACTCAATAGCTATGACTTTTAAGAGTTCGAATCTCTTGTCTCCTATATTTGTGCATAATGACTACCAGAATTAGTAACTTAATTGGTAAAGGGTTATCCTGTCACGATAATAGATATCGGTTCGAATCCGATCTAGTTCGAATGATAATAAATAATATGAGAGGATGAGTTACCATTGATTGGTCAGATGATCCCTAAAAGTTGCAATAAGTTTTATAAGGGTACTTTATTAACTCTTATCCTGTATTCATTGTTCTAAATAATAAATTATAGCTTATTATATCCCTAAGGCTAACTCCTAAAAATCTCAAGCATTCATATAAAATAATAGTCTATCTATAATGCAGCAGCTGTATTTATAGCCTTACCCTTACAATCTAAGAAGGATAAGGTTATCATACTAGATCTGCAAGGCTGGCTGCTTAGTATAAAACAAACACAACAATAAATAGAATGAACTTTTCTTACTCTAGCGCAAGCTAATAATAAAAAATACAGCAAGCGACTACAAGGAAAAGTTGCTATAGGTAAGGTAAGCCATTTGCTAAATGGTATCTTTTTAGATTTAGGTGTTCGAGTCACCTTTTTTCCGCTTCAAGTGAATAATAATTATAAATGTCCAATTAATATTGAAGAATGGCTTTATATGAACTTTTATTGTTTAGCTTCTTAGTTTAGGCTAGCTTGCGCATACCAGCTTCGCTGTAAAATCAATAACGAATTCTGACCAAGAATCGGACTAACCTCTGTTGTCCCTGTAGTTTTATTATTAATTTTGTGTGCAAGCTATTCTTATACACTACTTTTAATATATATATATCTATTTTTATATAAACTGAAATATGGCGTCCTTCTCTATGAACTTAACTATCCTTTACCTACAAATTATACTTAACATAAAAATAGAGAGCTTGAGTATCTCAAGCCTTGCTTCACACATAGCTTTTGTGCAATAAAGGGTTAATAAAAAAAATATATTTTTTTATTACCGCTACGAAGCGCGAAGCTTCACACTTCTGATTTTTTTCTACATATACCGTAAAAGTTTTTTACAGTCGTATAAAAGCTGAAAATAATCTTAATTTGTGAGAAGCTTCTATAGCTTAACGGTAAAGCGCGTTACTGTTAATAACGTTTATAGATGTTCGATTCATCTTAGAGGCTTTTAAACAAGAAGAATTCATGACTCAAAAACTGTAGTATTTTTATTATTTATATACATGACATATTTAGTGCGAAGTAATTTTCAAGATCATCCTTTTCATTTAGTTTCACCTTCTCCTTGACCATTCTATACTAGCATATCATTATCTGCTTTAACAATAAATGCAGCATTATCTATGCATCTTTTTAATAATAGTTATGTATTGTTCTATATAGCTTTAACTACAGTAATTGCATCTATGACATTGTGATTTAGAGATATAATCTCAGAAGGTATAATATCTTCGTGCCTTGTTTAAATTTAACCAATTGCTGGAAAACCCTTTAAGGGCGATCAGCAGGAAACTGAGGGACGGATAAATATTTCTCAGGGTCTTCAGAGACTATGGGTTAAAGATTAATACGTTAATTATAACTATTAATTAAAATATAGTCCAACAAATATAGTAATATATTTTTATAGTGACATACCTAGGTAATCATACTCTTGCGGTACAAAAAGGATTAAATTTAGGAGTTATATTATTTATAGTATCTGAAGCTTTATTTTTCGTAGCTATTTTTTGAGCTTATTTCCATAGTGCTTTAACACCAACAGTAGAATTAGGAGCTCAATGACCTCCAATGGGAATAGAACCTATTAATCCTTTCGAATTACCTTTATTAAATACAGTAATATTATTATCTAGTGGAGCAACAATTACGTACGCCCACCACTCTTTAATTAAAGGGGATAGAAAAGGTGCTATATACGGTACAATTTTTACATCTCTATGAACTTAACTATCCTTTACCTACAAATTATACTTAACATAAAAATAGAGAGCTTGAGTATCTCAAGCCTTGCTTCACACATAGCTTTTGTGCAATAAAGGGTTAATAAAAAAAATATATTTTTTTATTACCGCTACGAAGCGCGAAGCTTCACACTTCTGATTTTTTTCTACATATACCGTAAAAGTTTTTTACAGTCGTATAAAAGCTGAAAATAATCTTAATTTGTGAGAAGCTTCTATAGCTTAACGGTAAAGCGCGTTACTGTTAATAACGTTTATAGATGTTCGATTCATCTTAGAGGCTTTTAAACAAGAAGAATTCATGACTCAAAAACTGTAGTATTTTTATTATTTATATACATGACATATTTAGTGCGAAGTAATTTTCAAGATCATCCTTTTCATTTAGTTTCACCTTCTCCTTGACCATTCTATACTAGCATATCATTATCTGCTTTAACAATAAATGCAGCATTATCTATGCATCTTTTTAATAATAGTTATGTATTGTTCTATATAGCTTTAACTACAGTAATTGCATCTATGACATTGTGATTTAGAGATATAATCTCAGAAGGTATAATATCTTCGTGCCTTGTTTAAATTTAACCAATTGCTGGAAAACCCTTTAAGGGCGATCAGCAGGAAACTGAGGGACGGATAAATATTTCTCAGGGTCTTCAGAGACTATGGGTTAAAGATTAATACGTTAATTATAACTATTAATTAAAATATAGTCCAACAAATATAGTAATATATTTTTATAGTGACATACCTAGGTAATCATACTCTTGCGGTACAAAAAGGATTAAATTTAGGAGTTATATTATTTATAGTATCTGAAGCTTTATTTTTCGTAGCTATTTTTTGAGCTTATTTCCATAGTGCTTTAACACCAACAGTAGAATTAGGAGCTCAATGACCTCCAATGGGAATAGAACCTATTAATCCTTTCGAATTACCTTTATTAAATACAGTAATATTATTATCTAGTGGAGCAACAATTACGTACGCCCACCACTCTTTAATTAAAGGGGATAGAAAAGGTGCTATATACGGTACAATTTTTACAGTAGTATTAGCATTAGTATTCACTTTATTCCAAGCAATAGAATATAGTGTTTCTTCATTTACTATAAGTGATGGTGTATTTGGTACTTGTTTCTTCTTTGGAACAGGGTTTCACGGGTTTCATGTTATTATAGGTACAATATTCATAGCAGTAGGTCTATGAAGAATATTAGCCTATCATTTAACAGATCACCATCATTTAGGATATGAAGGAGGAATACTGTACTGACATTTTGTGGATGTTGTATGACTATTCTTATATGTATCCATGTATTACTGAGGGTCCTAGCATACTATATAACATATATATATTTTTTTATAGACTAAGAGGAAGAATAACAATTAAAACGGAACAAAAGATGGAAAAAACAAATAATAAAATTATAAATAATAAACAATCTATAAGATATTTCAGTACTACGCCTTATTATGGTACAACGCCAAATAGAACGGAATCTGACAATATGTCAGAAGAAGAAATGTCTAATGGATCGGGTTCTAATGCTATACCAGAAGGAGAAATGCCTAATAATCCTTATGATTTACCATACGGAGAAATACCAAATAGATCAGATTCTGCATATACATCAGATAGTGGTCGTTGAGATCGTGATTATAGTCAAGATAGAATTCAGCAGAGTGAAATATATAGTCGATTGACTGGGCGTAGAATATCACCTAGTGAGGTAGAATCTACAAGCAGTAATGGGTACCGTTTACCTGGTTTTCATACACCAAGTGAATATTATGAAGGTGACGAGTGAGATGATATTTTAAATATGTATGGTTCACCAGATAGATCTAGAAGTGAATCACCATCTCCTTCACAAAAATCTTTATCGGAATCATCTCAACTTGAACCTAGTAATCCTACTCTACCACACCAACCTGAAGATGAAGCTGAATCAAAATTAAATAACAGTCAATTAGAATCTGAGGATGAGCTTGCGCCTCAACAATTTGATAATAATGCTGAGGATAAAGGTAAAGGAGTAAAAAGAGGAAGGAGTGGTTCAGATTCAGATGAGGATTATGACAATAAACGTCCGAAAATAGAGGATAATAACAGTAAATGTGATAGAACAGCTTATAATGACAGTTCGAAAACAGATTATTATGGAGATTATGATGGAGACTTTCTATTTGATAACTCGTATATTGAAATAATACTTGATTTCATATTAAAATTCTTTTCATAATAAAAAACAAATTACAGATAAATATATTTTAAGCGGCTATAAGTTAATGGTAGACCTACAGATTTCCGCTCTGGATATGTCAGTTCAAGTCTGACTAGCCGCGTTTATGATTAAAACCCCTCAACTGAATAATAGTTCCAAAGTAGCTCAGTATAATATATTTAGTCCTATTTTTAGGTTTTAAAAGATAAAGCCAGTAGTCAAATGGGTCTTGATCTTTTGACCTTATACGATGTATTTTCTAATGGTTATACAGTAGAATATCTAGATGTTTTAAGTATAATTGCATTATTTTTCGGTATAACTGTTATAATTAATAAAAATCCTATAGCATCTCTTATGTCTTTAATAGGATTATTTGCATCTATTTCTCTTTATTTAATATTATTAGGATTAACATTTATAGGTTTTTCTTATTTAATTGTATATATAGGGGCCGTATCTATATTATTTTTATTCATTTTGATGTTGATCAATATAAGAACAAGTGAATTACAAAGCAATAATTGAAATAGTATTCCTTTAGCATTATTTGTAACAATATTATTAAATTCTGCACTACAGCCGATATTGCCTTACTATATGGCTATAATTAATAGTTATAATAGTAAAATAAACAATCTGATTTATTACTTATCCACAAGTAAATATAGTGATATTGTAGCTAAAGGGGAGGTTAGGTTACCATTACATATAAATAAAAATCTAGATCTAGACACAGCTAATGTTATGTTTGTTACTAGTAATAACTGAGATGGTAATATGACAGAAACAAGTCATATGTCTACAATAGGAAATATATTATATACTTCTTATAATATATGATTGTTTATTGCTAGTATTATCTTATTATTAGCGATGACAGGGGCCATAATAATAACGATAAAACAAGATACAGATAAGCAATAAATATAATATAAGTTATTTCTTAGCAAGCTATGAATTGAATCATTCTTTTCTGCTGTTCCATAAGATACATATTTATGTTTAGCTTCCTTAGCTTGCTAAGCTAAAGTTCAATATCTGCTTATTTCATAAAGTACTAAATGATAAGCATAAGAGAAATTTGGTTTAGGATTTAAGAGTAAAGAATAAAAAAA